TATTTCAGCTCACAGAAAGCTTCCYGACTGGTTCATGGCGTTTTTGTATTCTTTAAGTGCAGGTCTCCTGACTTCGGAACTATCTCTAAAAAAGGGTTCATTCCAAATCCTCTACATAGAAAGCAAAAGTTTAAAAGCAATCTCAGGTCTTAAACAAAGCTATCATGTAAGAAATCTATGGCAGTAAGATTCTATTATATTCATAGTCATGTATATGCTGTCTTTAAAGTGTGCAGACCCGTATCTTTGCTCCAGAATTCTCTTTTTCTGTAAACCTAGTAACCACTTACTTCCAGTGCCATCTGACCTGATTTTGTTCACCTAGCAGTTGTCATCACAACTGCTGCTTTCTAAGTAGTTCATAGATCCATCCAGTCTCAATAGCTACCTGCTGAGGACACTTTTTTTTAATTTATTTTTTCTTATTGTCAAACTGTTAAATCTAACAATTGCCCTTTTAAGCTATGAGTCAGTACTTGCACTACTATTTGTCTTTAAAGCAGATTGTGCAAGTTTTTAGTGCAAAGCASCAATGTGATAGAACATTTTAAGAAAGCATGGTAACCCTGGGATAGTATTCTCATGCAAGTCCCCTATCCACATGGGTCTTCACTATAACATACATCCCATATATAATTCATTTCTTTCTTCATTATATCCTAACTCATGCAGAAATGTCTGCTTTATAAAGGTATCTTAACTTTTTGTTTGTTTTTTGGTTCTCTTTTGGCATTACCAGCTTCTGCATCTGGCACCCTGAAACGCATTACTTCATGTAAGCAATCAAATAAGTGTTCTTTATCATGTATTTACTTTAAAAGCAGCCTGCAATTCTGCAGTGTCTTTCCTGTTGTCAGCTTAATCCCATGGAAATAGCAGGTACCTCCACTATACTATGACAGACATTTTCTTTATCTTGTCCTCACTGCACCAGTGTAGCCATGGAGAGGCAGATGCGCTCCTAATCAGCCCTTTCTATCAGTGAGAATCTGATATTTTCTGTGAGATTTGGCCTCAGAAAAGAAACCTTAAAGTTTTCTACAGTGGTACACACTTTTAGAAAAATGTGAAATGCCAAATTCTGTTCATTAACCAAACATTACTGTGCCTCTAATGCTCAGAGAGCAGACTAAGCTCTCCTTTCAATGTCTGGTACAATTGGCTACACACTGGCAAAGGACATTCAGGCYGTGTCAATACAACTTACGTATTCCTGTGTTGATAACATATGGGAAGCTGAACTCTGGCTTTGAGCTTGAAATTATTTGCCTACACAAATAACTAGACATAATTAAATCTTGCTGCCATTAAAGCCAGTAATATTTTTCCTCTTCAGTGTACATTTTTCTAACATGAGCCAAGCCTGCACACTTTTTTATGAGCATTTTATACATGACAACTATATTCTTACATTCCACTATATAACATCTCCTAGTCTTATTGAATTCAGTTGATTGAAATGTATGTTAATTGATTACAAGCACTAATTTGCATGGTTTGGTCTTAATTATTTTCTTATTTTCTTACATTAAAAGCTCACCTGAAAACAGTGCCAGCATCCACCAACTATGGTAATGTCTTCCAATTCTTTGCTTTTTGTAATTACTTTTCTTTACAAGCGCATTTWATGCTAGATAAAAGATATATGTTAAGAAAGTTTGGCAGCTTTATCAAATCTCCTTGCCATTTAGACATACCTGTGCCTCGCCTCTCCTCCTCAACAGGTCTGCCTTACCATTCCCTGTAGGCTTGCTGGGAGGATTTTTGAAAGCCTTAAGCTTTGTGAGGTGTTTCTGGCAAGTCCTATATCTTGGATTTCTGAAGGAATTCTCCTTAAAATGCAAAACTTTAAATGCTGTCATGCCAGGCAAGTCAAGAACTGACCTGCAGTGGCACAGTTTATGAAATAAACATTTACCTGTTTCAAATGTCTATCAAGAGATTACCAGACTGCTTACCAAAGAAACAGTTTGGTGGGTTATTGCTGCCAAGCTCACCTCGTTCCCATAAGTGACAGACAGAACTAATTTATGTCACTGCAATGTTAGTCATAGGARAGAGTCATGAACTTTTAATGACAATTCTTACCCAACTAAAGAAAAAACCAAATTCATTTTCTCTCCACTCAGTGGTTTCAAGGTTAGTCAGGAAAATCCCCATATGAGTTCGTAAAAAATATTGGTATTTAATACTTGCCGCATTTTATTCTATGTTTAAATATTCTTCCATAACTTTAAATTTCTTCTTCTCCAGCAACCCTTACTTGCCTACCTCAATACATGCGGGTAATCATTAAACGAGCCTATATCAATTCAAGAGGTTACTCTGCATGGAACGTCCACCTGCACGACCCAAGATGCAAGCCTGTGATTACCAGYTACAGCATCATGTTCCACATACCATACAAAGGCTGTGGTACAAGAATGCAGGTAGGAGTGCCTGGTTTTGAAATTAACCTCTGTCAAGATACCAGCAAAGTTACTTATTAACAACACTTTTCAAAATACTCGTCAAGATCGCTACTGGATGACACCACCACATGGCTTTGGGAATGTCAAGTCCTTGGTAATGGATGTGGCTAATACTGTGTTGAAATCACAACGGAATTACATTTCTAGAAGTTCGTGATTGCAGGTTATAATGTTATTATCAACTGTCCCCATACTTTTCATCCTCCCTTTTGTAGCCCTTCCTCTTCAAAAAACCAACAGCAGGTCACAGCTATCACCTGATCATCAGCTGGATCGCCTGTTTTCTAGTAACATTCAGTACAAGGTTCCAGCTTCACTTTGCAGCTTAAACTCTCTACTGTTTTAACAGATTGCCCGTGGAACCATCACCTATTCCAACACCTTGGTAGCATCCAATTTTGGCAACTTCAATGAAAGAAATACAAATCCTCTGCTAAACTTTGCCTGCAAAATACACAGGAATGATGATACCGGAACATTGCCCAATGTTAAAGAGTCTGCATATCTGGAAAATCAGTCTAGACAATATGTTGTCAAGTTTTCCTTTTATGATTCATCGTTTTCACATGTGATGAAGGCTTCGCCATACTATGTTAACACAAACCAGGATGTGTTTATTCGTGCTACCCTCTACTACCCAGATCCAAATCTGATGCTATTTATAGACATGTGTATGGTGTCTCCAAATCCTCATGACTTTACAACATTGTCATATGATTTAATCAGGAACGGGTAAGGAAAACATCTCAACAAGTATTTCAAAATAATACCTCCTATGGGATTGACTTCATATAGCTGATAACAAAGATGTATACCAAATATCCATGGCCTAGAACACACTTGAGTTATCCGCTAACTACATGCAGTAAGATTTTAAATGAGATAGATATTAGATCAAAAAAAAAAATCCAATTCTATTAGTTGGCACTTTATTACTAATTGACTTTTATATTCTACTAGGAAAGAGAAATGACTATTTATACTTCAGTCTCAGAAGATATTTCAAAAATCTACACAATAAATTTAGAGAAGACATGATTAAAAGGTTCTGATGGATTTGGGATGTGGAGTTTTCTAAGGCTGAAATAAAAAACATCTTTCCAAAGTTAACATGGCTACAAAATAACTATATTTAAAATTTCATCAAGTGAATAGAAAATATATACAACATACATACAACTGTATGTATGTATATATTTAGATATGTATTGTAGGTGTGACAGATACCAACATATTTACATAAAATCCATCCAGTTATATCCATGTTCAACAATTTTAGGTTGTGAATTGTGATTACCTTCCCTGCTAAAAAAATCTGAAGGAAAGTTTCTTACTATTAATGAAGCAAATTGAATAGTAACTATGTTTGTTTGTGCTTTTTTTGTCCTTTTCACAGGTGCGTAAGAGACCCAACCTACAGGAACTACTATTCACAAGACAAGAAGATTGTACAGTTCAAATTTAGACCCCTTGGCTTTCTCAGAAGATACTCAGCAATCTACCTACAGTGCAGAATGGCAATATGCAACAAATACAATTATTATKCCCGATGCTACCACGGCTGTATGGCGAGAGGCAAAACAGGCACAAGTAACAATGAGGAAAACACCATTATTATTGGGCCAATTATACTCAGAAGATTTTAATGCTTCTTTTAATTACAGTATTGTGTATTGCTTATGTAAGTGATCAGTATGTTGCACATCTGCTAGTTAATAATAAAAATGCATTATACTAGGCTCTGGATTCCACAATCAACAGCACAGCATTTGTTTTGTGATATCTTAGGATATTTTACTTCAGTTGCATTTGTATTAATTTTAGAATTCTTGGCCCTATATTCCATATCTGTAAAAGCCTAAATTTCAGTAAACACTTTCAATGACAACGTAGACTTGTGTTAGCTGCTTGATTTTTCTGACTTCTCTCTTCTATTCTCTCTTACAATCCTTCCCATTCTCCCTGTTGCACTGTCACTCATAGCCCAAACACTTGGCATTTAAGGATGACCAACCTGCCTAAGGGCTGCAAAGGGCACTGCGCTGTTCTCCACACTCTTTGTCCAAAAATACTTAAGAACACACGTGAGTAAAGGTTGAAGGACCAGCTCTACATCACTTTGCTGGACCTAGTAATCATTTTAGCTGCTTTTGAAAGTCAAAAAGAGCCCTAAATCAAAAGACAAACCATCTCTAGTAACAAAGATAATACCTAAGCTATTATTTTAAATATTTTTCCAAATATTTTGAGTTTGTATTATAAACATATGGAAATACAATCTCAGCAACAACTTTAAAGTTACTGTAATTTTTCTATATGTCATTTTTAATACTGCAGATTAGAATTATAAAAGCTTTTAGATCTAAATTATAGGCAGTTGCTTCATTTCCTTTCTTTCCAATATCTGCTCAAACAACAGATGGTAACATGGGCAGAGTGTCTTTGGACCAAAGTTTTTCTGAAGTTTCATATACTAATTTGGCCTATTTAGAATGACTTAGTGAAATAAAAAAAAGTAGAAATTAATAACTTTCTTCAGTTTGTAATAAAGTATCTTGACAGTCAACTGCAAGATTATGCAGATGCATTGCAATTATGTGAGGGAATTAAACATGTTCAGTTTTGATGAACTGGTGAACTTAGCCTAAGTGTGAAGAACATCTTCWAAGCTAATCTTCATCTTGATGGTTGTATGCAGATTACACAAACACCTCACGAGCTGCTTCGACCTGAATAGGATGCCTACTGCCTAGAAGCTGTGTGATGCAGGACAGAAAGCCACTTCTTTTCACCAATTTTCTGTTTTGATCTTAGTCCTTCTGAAAAAGGAATTAGGTTCCTCCTGAAACTCGTTTTCCCCACAAACAACTTAGTCATTCTCAAATACCAAAATGACACAGATTTCACATCTCAAGTTTGAATAAATCCATCACAGCTAGGGGCTAAGTCTTAGATTTGGTCTGTCCAGGTGCTGAGCAGGTCAGTGGTCAGTCCTGATTCTGCAAGGTTGTAATTGCAGACAGGTGTAAAACATAGCCAGGACTCCTGAAGAGCTGGAGTATTCCCTAACCACACTTTGATGATACAAAATTCAGTCTTACTTGTAGTCCTGCTGTTCTGCTTCTCACAGCCCTGGCTCAGCCTGTCAGAAATGCTGAGCCAATGCTCAAGGGTTGGGGCCTTTAACACCCTCATCATTCATACACAAGTAATTCCAAGCAGGTAAAATTCCAGTCTCTATGTACATTATAACTTTATAACCAGAGCATAATAGCCATGAACATATTTTTTCTTGGTCCTCGTGCACACAGCATTGATTGTGTTTCATATACCCCTTCACACATTTAAGGCATACAAAATGATGGTTAGCRCTTGAAAATTGCTTGCAATTGTGTGGGTGAGCTTCAGAAATCAAAGGCCATACCGAATGAATCCAACTTCAGAATTTCCTGAAAAACAAAGGGAACACAAACATTATGCAATGCCTTTATTAGGTGCATTCCATACCATATTTCTTAAACTCATATTGAGAATTAAAGCTAAAGATGTTAGCTAAATTGTATGTACCTAAGGGAAAAAGCTTTCAGGAGGTGTTTGAAGGTGGTCTCCACTGCAATTGACTGCATGCTAGTAAACTTGAAAGAGCAGCTCTGTTTGCACAGCTGTGCGATACCTGCGCTGTGTATCGGAAAGAGGAACACGGCCGAGCAGCCGTTATCCTTGGCCCTTCACAGAGGCAGGTACCACGCCAAGGGCCAAGGCTAGGGTAACAACACATCTGTGGCACTGGCACCATCACCTCTACAAGCTTTTACCCTGGTTTTCTGCTGCTGCTCTAGGAAATAGCCCATATTTCAAAATCTTTGGTCCCTGCAGAGAGACAATGTACTGCAAATGTATTAAAGCAAAAGAGATCTAATCACGAGCCCCTGGTTGATTAGACTCTTGCCAGAATTAASTGAGGTCACTGAACGATTTGTCCAACGTACTCTAAGGGGCTACGTGTCCAAATCAAGGAGGAGACAAAGGGCTGTGAGCAAACTGCTGAACACGTCCCCACAGGGTCTGTCAAACCCACCCTGGACATTTCTGCACGTGCCAAACTAAGGCCAACAGACCTCAACAAGYGCTCCCCAAAGGGAACAAACGTGTTTTGACATCTCAAGATGCAGAGCTGACAAAAGCATGGTTAACCTTTCTGCAAGCAGTCTGTATTTAAAAAACAGGCACACCTGTGGCTTTCTCATTTATATCTTCTACAGCTGATAAAAAGGAAACAGTAACTAAGAGATTAAGTCCCCACTCCACAATACCGTGTAATACATGATAGTTATGAAATCACACGAGGTATAAAAGTTAGAAAAACCTAACCTCCTTAGCTCTTATCAAAATGCAGGTGCTCAGGCAGTTCTTCCTTTTGCCTCTCTTAGCTGCTCTAGCTCTTGCTGAAGACAACTCAATAGAATTTGCAGGTATGGAAATCTATTTTTTTTAATCCATGATTTTTTATGAGTTTTTGAACAGCTCTTTTATGGGCAGTGAAGGAAAAAGTATGTGAAATGAATCTATAAAGGTGCATCTTAAATTTTAATGTGCTGCTGCACAATAGTAATRCCTAAATGTGCCAGCAAACATTAAAAACGAGAAAAAAACAGTCCCAATATCTGACTTGCTATGACAATTTTACGTAAGAAAATGCCTTTGAAGAGACTTTACTCTGGAGTGGAAATATGCTTTTACAAATTAATACTGTATTGGGGTAACAGGAATAAATTTGSAAAGTCACTGACTTAATTGGGAAATGGAGCTGCTTTTTAAGAGTTTGGGGCATTTTTCTTCTGCTCAGCCAGAATCAACAGGCAGTGCCCAACTTAGGGACAGATCAGCAGCTTACCTAATGAAAGGCGGGCAGCTGTTGTTGGGTAACACGGTACTGCTGCAGAGCTGTCCCCAAGTGCCAGCCTGGAGGGGTGCAGACAGGATCCAGGTAGGACAGGGCAAAGCTGTCTGCAATGCTCTTTCTATCGGGAGTTCTCATACTTAACAAGCAGGTCCTCCTAAACCTTTCTATCCTCCCTGGAGCTCATGAGAAAGCCTTAGCTCTTCACATGAGACTGCATACACTGCATAGGATTTTCTTTTCCTGTTGTTCTCAGCTATTATTTTTAGCAGCGTTAAAGATGAAAGSAGATTTTATGCTTATACTGATTGACAACCATTTTATAGAGATTCCTACACAATGCTCACTCCTACAGTAATTTAACAATTTATTATCATGCATTAAATTATGTTAGCAATCCCAGCCTTGTTTCTTGCTCACAAGAGAACAGCTGAATTGGGTCAGATTAAAGTTCAGCCAATCCCACCACKCTGAATACAGTCAGGGTCAATGAACATGGAAACAAACCTGCAGCAATGCTCCCCCAGAAACACTCCCCTGGAGTCAGAAAATGTGGTTCTGGAATTCCTGAACCACAGAGATGCTGTCTTAGTATTTAATAGTTATCGGAGACTTTTACTTTCACGGATTTGACCTGTTCTAATGTTTTACTGTTAGCATGCACACCACCCTGCAGCAAAGTTTAATAGCTGAATATTTGTTGTGACAAGAGCCAATTCCTTCTGTTTGTTTCAAAATCACAACTTACTGGTTTCATAGCAAGCAAGCAAGATTTTATTTTGGAAGAGATTATCTCCYATTTGCCCTCTCCATGAATTCATAGACCTCTTTTCACCTTAGTTTTCTCTCTTCTGACCCATAAATGCTTTAGTCTACTTACCCCTTGTCTGGAAGCTAGTCTAAACTTTTGATCATCTTTGTTGCCATCCTCTGCAGCCTTTCCTGTTCCACTGCATCTTTTCAGAGACAGGACCAGAATTGCTTGCACTACCAAACACATAGTCCTCTAGGATTTTAAAAAGTTCTTTTGATTCCCCAGCCTACGTCCCCAAATGCTTCAAAGTAAAGGGCTGAAAYGCAGAACTGGATTCAGCAACCTTTAGGAAATCAGTGTTGGGGAAAGTCGGGAAGCTCGATGTGCTTGTGGTAACCCACCTTGCAGCAGAGATTTGCTGAGGTGTCCTACACCACTTTGAATTTCCAGGTCTCCCACTAGCTTCATCTATGATTTGTGTTCCCTAAATTCATTTTCTCTGCTACTATGAAAATAAAGAAAATTGTTATTTTGATATTTGATTCTTCAGGTTTCATAAACTGCTATAACTGAAATGAAAACCCAAAATAGTACAAACCTTTTTATGTTTGTTTCATGGTGTACTGTTCCACAGTCTCTGCATATGCAGGATGAAACACTGCTGGAAGAGAAAACTTGAGAGATACCCTTGCAAGATATTTTTCTTTCAATAGGTTTACCTCGCTGTGGCACCTCCCTCGAGGATCTCAACAAAGCCTTAAGCATAGAATTAAATTCAAACGCAAGCTGTGTCTGGCAAATTCACAGAACTTCAAATCAAACTATTAGGCTCATCTTCTCCTATTTTAAGTAAGTATTTTCTCCAGGTGTTTTTTTATTGCTTATTTTCATCAGTATATGGCACAGAAAAAAAACATTGAAATAAACACTAGCATGGCAAAACTGATTTTTAATAACTAAATACACATAAGACATTTCAACTTTTACCTCACACAATACTGAAAACGTTTAAATTGTCACATAGTCTTAATTTTATGTTTATGTAAATCTTGAGGATTACCTGGTTTTTATGTTTTTTTTTCCCTAAATTCAGCAGAAACTCACATACTTCCTTTCACACTTTCCATTGTTTTATAAAATAGTGTCGATGACAGAAATCCAGTTCAACTGATGCTGTAAGCAATAAACTTGTTACAAGGCTGCTCTCCATTTATGAGCAACTACAAATGCTTGTAGTTAGTCTTCCTGTTCTTTTATTCTATCTGTTATACTTTGCTCTTGTATCTTTTGCTTTTTGTATTTTCTTAAATACAAAGAATTTTAGTTGAAAAAAATCCAAATCCAAACTCCTATCCATTTCTTAATTATTTCAGCCTAACATATAGGTGCCTCTAAGTGTTTCTCTGTATTTGTTTTAATAAAATATTTATTGAATCTGTTAAGGACTTAAAGGAGTTTGTTCATCTAACAGTGAGTTCAGATAGCTCTCGATTTTTTTTTTAAACAGATTTGCTGCTTCTTCAAGCTGTGAAACAGAAAGTATTAAAGTGTATGATGGTCCTTCCACTAATTCATCTTTTCTTGGGCAAGTATGCAACAACACTGACTCAGTCCCCGTGTTTGAATCATCATCGGACAGTTTAACTTTTCTCATAACAACAAACTCAGARTACTTCACAAGAACCTTCTTTGCCTTCTATTATTTCTTCTCACAAGAATCAAGTAAGTCAGAACTCCACTTACTCACTGAAACAGCATTTGAACTGCACTCAATATGTACAAGGTTTCATCCTGCAACATCCATCTGACCCAAAAWTCTCAAAAATATTTAGAAATGTTAACTTTAGTATCTTTAGGCTTTACTAGGGAAATAGAATCCTATATAGAGTCTTATAGAGTCCAGTCACTACTGACATAGCCTTAGAYCCCTAGGCTTTAGATTTTTTCTTAAATGTTCCATTATATAAACCATTATGCTGACATTGTATCTACTCTTCATTTCAGAAATTGAAAATTGTGGGGGACTCTTAACTGGTCCCAATGGGACGTTTATCAGCCCCAACTACCCAAAGCCTTATCCTGAGTTTACCTACTGTGTCTGGCACATAGAAACAGCAAGCAAGTCGAAGATAAATTTGCAGTTTAATGACTTTTTGTGAGTAAATGTCTTGCTTACTTTTTTTTTCATTCTGTTTAAAATATTAAACACAAGAAGGAAAGGTGCCTTAATTCTTTTAGAACATATTTACACTTCCAAAACAAACGTGCTCTGCCTGCTCCTGTAACAAAGTAATTACAACATGTTCCCCATCCCTACATATTGCCCTATAGCCACTGCAATGCCATTCAGGACTTGATCCTGGTGTATGAGACYAAAGGCAAGCAAGAAGAAACACAAGGAAGGCACCTTTGCAGCATGTGGTGTAGGAGTTAGCCATTGATAACCGGTTATTTATGGTTATTTTAGAATAAATATTCTAAATATTTATAATAGTAAACTAATATAAATCAAATCTATTAATAATTTATATATTGATATAAGTTAAATTTATATTAATAAAAATATATTTAYAATTATATTTATTAAACATTTATTATTCTAAATATCTTTTTTTCCCCTATAACTGTAGCCTGGAACTAGATAAAAACTGTCGATTTGATCTGGTTGCAATTTATGATGGCCTCACCACTAACTCTGGTTTGATTGGAAAAGTTTGTGGTCGATCTCAGCCCAGATTTGAATCTTCTTCGAATGTTATGACTGTTGCGTTAGCTACAGATTATGCCAATTCTTATAGAGGATTTTCTGCTCAGTACACCAGTATTCCACTACCAGGTCCAGCAGAGCCCAACAGTAAGTTCATTTCTTTTATATAGTTTTTTATATATATAAATATATATGTATATATTTTATATAAATATAAATATATAAAAGTTCATTTCTTTTATATAGTTTATATATATATTTTTTAACCTAAGATCCTGTTTCTTCCTATCACATTTCTCTCTTCCTTACCTAGTAAAAAGGCTGAAATTACCTTAGTGACGTTGGGCTTACAGTTAGGCTTTCAATGTGAGTTTTACATGGTTTTGTTTGTCTAACCTGTGCTGTCATATTTAAGATTGAACAAAACGTACATGACCTCAAACATGTACAAGTCATTTCAGCATTAGGCTCAGAAAAACTGAGATCCATGAAAGTGATTCAGGGATGGGCCTTGATTTAGATCAAACGAGAAATGATTGCAATTTGTAGTAACCTACTTTCTTTTCTTTGAATGGCAGCTTCCCTTACATGCTCTTCAGAGAGAATGSAAATTGTTCTGAGCAAGTCTTACCTGGACACTCTCGGTTATAATTCAACTCACTTACAGCTAAATGATCCATCTTGCAGACCAGTTTTAACAGATCCAGTGATCTTTTCCTTCCCATTAACCAGCTGTGGAACRGTTAAAACGGTAAAGAGGGGGAAAAAGGCCACAAAAACGGGCTAACAACAGCTTGGGAATGACAAGAACTTTTAGAAACAGCTTATGGATAGCATATGAATAAGTTAACAGTAGATTTACTTTCATACAGCTCATTCAATTGTACTTTTCAGTCTTGAGATGTAAGGAACATTTTTCTTTGCAATAGCTCAATTAACAGTAACCCTTCACAGGGAAGTGCAGCAAAGTCCTATCAAGGAAAATACCAATTCCAACTATTTTTATATTATGCTTCATTCTCTCTGCAATGAAAGCTCCTGAAAGTAGCACCACATAYGTATAACTTAAAAACTCTCTGCAAGGGATGTGGCTGGCACCTAACATAATGTGGGAAGCGAAAGATCCTTTAGAAGTTAAGCTTCCTATGAATTCATTAATACCATTATTCTGATAAGGGTGACAGAAGGGCCACTTTGATACTGCAACACTTTGTGCAATACTCCTTAAGCTTTTTGCCGCAGGGGTTGGCTCAGTGTTTGGACAAAAAGGAGGAGGGATGATTATGTTTTTTGTGTTGTAACATCTATTTTGCATTTTCAGAGATACTTTGAGCCTCCAGTAAGTSTGTCTCAGAGGCTTGTGTCAGAAGCACATTTGCTTTCATTTGCACTGCTCCTGTAACAGCAACCGAACACTTTGTTAACTCCTTTCACAGGAAGAAGGCCAGAGCATCACTTACACCAACACCATAACCGCCTCTGCAACTGGCGGCATCATCACCCGTCAGAAGAGCATAGAGATCATTGTAAAATGCAAAATGGAAAACAATTCAACCTTAGAAATCATGTACATAACAGAAAACAACGTAATCCAAAACAAAACTGCCATTGGAAGATACAACGTTAGCATGTCATTCTATAGCTCAGACTCGTTCTCTGATCCTGTATTTCAATCCCCGTATTTTGTGGACTTGAATCAAACTCTGTTTGCTCAAGTCAGCCTTCATTCCACTGACCCCAATCTTCTGGTGTTCATTGATACGTGCATAGCATCTCCAAAATCTGATTTTGGATCACCAACATATGACTTAATCAGAAGTGGGTAAGACTCTCAACCCTTTTTATTACTATTTCCCAAGTGACAAAACAGAATCTCAATTTGAACTATAACTCCTTCATTTATGTACCTCTTCCACTTACCTTCTTTGGTAGGTATTTGTTGAAATCTGTATTTCCTGGAAATGTAAAGTCATAGAATGGAGCCAGGAAAATCATGCATTCACCTGCACTGGGGAAAAGGAAAAAATACAGTATGCCCACATGTAAAAAAATGCCATAGCTAAGTGCTCTGGAATAGCTAATATTATTAGCAAGAATGCCTGTTGCACCTGGATCACTTTAACAGATGTGTAAATTCTGTTGCAGCTGCAATAAAGACGACACTGTGGTAACCTACCCACCCCTTGAACACTACGGGAGATTCAAATTCAATGCCTTCAGGTTCCTGCAGAACTCAGCCTCTGTCTATCTCCGCTGTGATATTTTGATTTGCGACAGCAACAACACAAACTCTCGCTGCACTCAAGGCTGTATCTCTAGGCAAAAGAGAGCTACTTCTTCATACTTGTGGAAAACTAATGCTGTGGTAGGTCCCATCCGCCTGAAAAGAGACCGCAGGTCTGCTGATCAATCAGGTAAGAGGGAACCACAAATCAAGACTCTGATTATGTTCATTCTTCAAATAAATTCACTGTATCTGCTCTACTAATGAAACATGTTAGTTTTGAACTTGGCATCAGAGCAAGGGGTTGAACACAAGTTTGCATTTTGTGAGAAAACAGAAGTACTTAGTTGACTGATGGCCTTTCACAGACGGGTGTGCTTTTTAAGGAGAAAAATGTGCACTAACTTCAAGGTACATTGCATATGCAGAATCTGAATCTTAAATTATGAGTAGTAAGGATTTCAGCATTTAAAATTTCACTTTTGATGAAGTGAACATACAGGGCTCCTTTTCAAAAGCACACAATATTTTAAATCCATCTACCTAATTTTTGTAAAAATCTAAGATGGCACAACTTCTTTTTATAGTTCTACAAAAAAGTGATGAAGGATGATAATCATAGATGAGAATAGTAGGTTAAACCTTAATATCATATTGTTTACTAGAACAAAAATATTTTGAAGACATCAACTGAAAGAACAACAATAACAGTAACAAAAAAAAATTAAAAAGCCATGCCTTTTCATTTGAGCTGCAAAGCAGCTTTTTACAGGTTGAGTTTGATTGCTCCAATCTGGTACCTTTTGTAACACTACTTGCAGTTTGTTTTTTCATCAGGTCTCACTACTAATCTAGTCCATTGTAGATCAATCTAGAAAATAGGGAAAAGCAATTCTAAAACGCGTGTGCGGTAACTTGCACCATACTCCTGGCCCTAGCTTTTCTTGAGCACAGAGCTTCATCTAAGAAAGTTGTGCTACGAGCTTTCAGGTGCCAGTGTCCAGAGCATGACTAATGGCAAACACTACACATACTGTTTTTTAAAAAAATCTAATTACTAACCAGTTACTTTGAATCCCAGCAGCACTTCAAATGTAAAAGTGAGTGAAAGATTTTGCATGTATATGCAACTGGCCACATCGACAATGTGAGAGGCTTTCACACGCAGACAGATCAGAGTCAAATCATTGTAAAACCTTAATCTGTTTCCATAGTATCTTACTCCTTTTACAGAAAGGTAATAAGCTTTGACAAAGAYCATCTAGTAAATCATTAAGAGAGATGAGGTTATAACCAAAATTTCTTCTCTGCCCACCTTTGCTTCAGGAGCCTGTCTTCAATTTGTGTTAAAGGACAATGATAACATCAATTGGCAGAAATTTCTTTGATATCGTTGCAACCAAATGTCCTGACATTGGGCTCTTCTTTTATGCACTACTGCTTTCTGCACTGTAAAAACTTACAGCTTTTTGGCACTACTGAATCAGAACTTGCTTCCRTGTAGGCCAACTCCTCAAAGCCAAAGTATCTGAAAGAAAAATGACTACTGAATTTCCATTGAAGTGCCATAGCATTCCAAACTTTAAAACTCACTTTTCTCTTTCCCTTTGTACAGCATCCCTCACTGAAGTGCGTGCTGAAGAAACTCCAAGCCTGCAGCAGTACAGCTTCTACACCCTTTCATTTGTCRTTTTGACTGCAAATGTTATCATTGTGATAGCTGTGATACTAAAATATCGCATTCAACATSAATATGGCTACCAAAAACTGCAGAGTGCCTATTAACTACTTTAGAAGATGACTCAGTTGACACAGATTTGTCACTCCAAGGAGGGGAGAAAAAAATAAAATAAACAAAACTAACACAAACATGCACACACACGCATTTGAAAAACAAAAACCCTAAAAGTTAYGGAATACAGCAATGCTTGGAAGCACCTTTCAACGTTTTTTGTGTAATTAAAAGAGTTCAAACAACTAGGACTGTATTTTATATTCTTTTTCAAATCAGTGTTTTAACTATCCACTTCAAGGTGTTTCTTAGAAAGCACCTAAAAGCTTAATGTTAACTGTAAAATGATCTGTGACGTACAAGATAATCTAGGTTTTATTCTTTAAACGACTCATTTTCTATTTTCTAGTCATTTTGAAACTGTACTTGCATGGGTTAAGCTAGAAAAGAGCTGCAAGCTGCATGTTCTGCACAAGTAGGCCCCTCTGTGGCATGTACTCTTATGTGTTGCTACCATCAAGCAGCATGAATCTTCAAAACATCCATTTTCCTCCTAGAGACCAAAATATTGAAGACTGGACAGAGACTGGAGTGCACATGTCCAAGCAGGTTGTTTGGTCAACCGTTGTTGGAGAACAGTAGTAGCTTTTACTCATTGCATTTTAAGGTCCAGTGTCTCTACATCTAACTTTGGAGTTTTCCTTTAAGTTCCTATACTGTCATAGACAGATAATACCCACAGAAAGTACCTCAAGAATTCAGAGAACAAGAAACCGAAAGAAGGATGAACCTCCAATCTCCAGCAAGGAGGGACTCGAAGACACATTTCTACCTCTCCAGATGGCAGGAGAGCTTTCATGTAGGTTATGGTACACATGAATAAATAAGGTTACCTCTTTGGGCTAAGGCTACCAAACAGCACATTGTTTGCAAAGGAGGTCCTTCTAGGAGGAACTGTGAATGAAGTGCTTGCGTTTCTAAGGGTAACAAAATACAAATAAGGCTTATGTATACATTCACTTTAGTTGCTCCTGAAAGGCTCGATGAATTTAGGAGGAAAGAAGCATGACAATCTTAAATCTAACCTGGCACCTGTWCAATCGGTGAGGCTTTCAAAGAACCCAAGCTGAGGTTCAAGTTACCTGTCTCTATAAACCTGACCATCTATAAATCTGATCTAGACCTATAGTCTGGAGTTAAGTAGTTTTTGCATTTCTTGTCCTTCAACGGTGTTATAGCTGGAGCAGAAAACAGTTTCAACAACAGTACTGTTAAAATAGACCAAAAGCAGAAAGAAGAGAAATTCTGTTCTACTGGAAACACATTATATGTGTAATAAACTCCCCCCCAAAACCAACAGACCTCAGAAAAGTGAATTGATGACATACAGCTAATTAGATAAGCTGTAACTCAGTTTATTTACTTTTCCCATTCAAGTTGAACCTGGGATACTGTATTTCACATGGCTTTTACTGTCTCTTTCAATAAATAAGCCACAAAGGGCATACAAAATTCTTATATTTAGGAAAAACATACGTTCTTAAGAWCTTTCAGAGAACTAACAACTGTGTACAGTAGTGGATAGAATTACAGTAACAAATGTAACACTGAGGTTCTATACAGTTCTAGTTACATATACTTTACAAAGTCTAGTATTTAACTGCCCTTGGAAAAATACTTACATTGAAGTCCTATAGCAACACACATCTATCTCTCTCCATTTGAGAAACCCTCACCAGTATCATAGTGTGTTTGTGTAATTTTGTTTGACTTTGAGTTCTGAACCAAGTCCATTAACAGAACCATTTTGTTATCTATATGTGTCTGAAGACTCTGGATTTGGCGATCAATATAGTCCATTAGTTTTTTCTCCATCAGATCCATATTTTTTGAGATGATCTTTTCCAAATAGGAACAAATAGGTTGTTGTTCCACTCTGTGAAAAGAGCAAATACAAGAATAAGTATAACTTGTTTCTGACTTGGGGATTAGAAAAAAGTGACTAGAAGTATTTTTAGGTTTTCAGCACAAGTAGAATTCCCAACCTGTCACTTTTTAAATCGTAGAAAATTAAGATACACACTAGGACAGTCATCTTCATTCAACTCTGTATTCAGAAAGTCTTAATTATGTATTAAAAGACTCATACATACATAACAGGATATGCAGAGTTCATATTTTGTCAGCGGAACAGGCATTATTCTTTTAATGCGTTTCAGTAATTATAATATTATGCAATTCTATCTTTTGCATCTGCATTTCTTTTTTAAGTGTACTATACTCTCCCAAGTGATGGAGATATCCAGGCTTAGAATCCTGCTACGCTCCTGAATCTCATGTGTCTTTSTACAGTTCTTTAGGTATCAAACTGTACGCACTACTACTATTATTCCTGCAACAGCAAAAAAAAAAAGAAGGTCAGGAAAGACTGATGGGATGAGATACACTGAGAACAGCAGATGGATGACAGTACATAATGTAAAAAAAATAAGACGACAGTTTAGGAGGCAGAAATAACCAGAGAAAGAAGGCAASAGCAGGAAGTAGACAGACAATATATATAATAACGCAGAAAGACCACACTTTTTATTTTTTTGAAACCAAAGATATGAAATATAGAAAAAAAGACAGTTACATAACTGTGTAAGATTCCATTTTTAAAGCTTCAAGCAGTTCATCTGAAAAAAATCAACTAAAATACACTTGTCACCACACAGCCTCCAAAACCATGTTTTAAGATTTGTTTTTGCCTCTTTTTTTTTTTTTTTAACTTTGTCAATCAGTATGAACCACTAGGTGTTGGATAAATGTATCAAACATAACTCACCCAACACTCTGAATACTTTCTTCTTTAGTCGCAACACTTTTCTCATAGCGTCTATTTCCATCTTTTAGCCGAAGATGATTTACTTGACGACACAAATTTTGAAGATAAGGAAGAAGGTCCCCGGGATTTGTTATATTTGGATTTTCACTTGTTTGCTGCTGCATAAGCAAAGATTTCATTATTTTAAAATCATTTYTAGGGTCCAACATATTTTGCTGAGCAGCAACTCTTCCAGGATCAGAACTGTTCTCTCTTTTAGGTATCTGTGTGTTTTGGTTGAGACTTGTKTTTAAGTCTTCATACAGTGCTTCACTTGATGAACAGTTTGTATCAGGCAAAGGTTCAGCAGATGGCAGATCTAGTGATGTCTGAACAGCTGCACCATGCAAACCATCTACTTGATGTTCATCTTCGAAGTGAGAATTTTTCTCAAAGATCCTGTTAAGTTTGTCTCCAAGAGGTAAACTATTCTGATGAAAATAATAAAAAAGTATATGTCATACTTCCATATAAAATATACTGCAACTTTTGTAATAATACATCCTTTATATCTCTTCGTAGTATTTTTAATGTTCTACTAAGTACAAATTCCTACTAATCTGTAAGTTCTACTAAGTCAGTTCTACTAATGTAAAGACTTTTAAAGTAGTTGTCAATTACATTTTTAGGGAAATGCACAGAAATGTTCTGTTTGCACACGTTATTGCATTACTTTTAACCTTGTGAGTCTTTAAACAGCTTTTCTGAGTTCAATTGTGAAACAGGTCTTTATTATGCTATGGACCTAAGACTGATGATYTTCTACATCAGATGGATAAAGGATTCTGTTAAAATACTCTGCTTTGCAGGACTAAGATCTAAATGAAATAAACATTAAGAATTTTTTTCCTTTAGACGAAGATGATGGATTTTTAAAAGAGACAGAAGAGACAGACAGACAAATCACCCCATCCACCTACACCCCAAGCACAACAGGAAATGTAGCCATGATCCTGCACTGACAACCGAAACAAAGAGAAGGGAAAGCTGGGGAGGCAGGAACGCAGAGTGACAGCAAAGTTTAAGATGGTGATGAACGAAGGTGCAAAACTCTTAACTAAAGGGTTGATCCATGTATAGCAATTCCCTTGGGCAAGCAATCATCACCCATACTCACATCTTTAAGCTTGGCAAYATCAAAACCAGGATTTAAACGACAGAAAGGTTGGGTTAGAAATATTTTTGTCAACATACCAGCTTAGAACATATTTAACTGTTATAGAAGGTAAGGTCTCACAGTGGTACTGTTCACAYTTAGGGAGCAGCATAATGACTTACTTTCTGCTGAAATCGGACCATGTCCATGAGCTGCTGAGCACCTGGAGACAGCTTTGACCCCATGGACTCCATTATAGTTTGCACTCTGTTTAGATCTATGCTGGCTCCTAGTGAAGGAAAATCAGTTGCTAGTTTTGCAGACACTGTTTTCACTTCTACTRTTATTTTACTGATGAGTACTCTTTGTTTCTCATCAATGGAGAGCAGCTATTGGGGAAAAAAACGTATGAGACGATACATTACTTTGGGAATCTTTAAAAAAAAAATCTTTTTGGGGGAAATTAAGATAATTTTACCTTGTCATTATTCTTAGAAATCTGACTAGAACAGAAGGTGCATGCCACCAAGGATAAATTAAGTGTTGATGCTCCAAACAYTTAAGAAAAGTGGTAGCCGTATAGATTTTTATTAGGTTATTTAACTGCACAGCTATTAGTGAATGTACTATTTTCAAGTTCTGATTACATATCAAYTGTTAATAATTTATMATKTATGTATTTTTTTCACTAACAGGATATTGTTTGCATATATATGTATTAGGTCTTCTTAAAAAAAGACATGTGCGATATGAATTTAAAAGAGCTGTGCTATCAAGGTTATAGATCATTTAGGTGATTTTAACTAATTATGTGAAAGAACTATCGTATAAAAACATGAGTAATTTGACCAGCAACAGCAGAAGAGAACTTCAATCACACAAGCGATTAAAAAGACAACAAAAGGTTAAACAATTCCACAGAAATCCCTACCTTAATTCTACAGGAGGTTGCAGGGCATTCCAGCTTGACATACTTCCTGTATAAAGTAACCTTTTCAGTTTCGCTAGGAGAGTAAAATAAGCAATCTGTGACATCGTTATACACAGCACTTTTTGCTCTGCTATTTGTTGCAGATTTGAAAAACATTACTAATTACGAAATGTCAAGTAAGAAACAAAATTAAACATGAGAGCATACGCAATATGGCTTTTGTGCTTTCTGTTTCCAGGCTTATATTACTGAATCTCATTAAAGGTTTAAAAAAAAAAAAAAGGATTTTCACACACGCTCACATTATCTCCCACAGCAAGCAGCTTTCCAACCTGAGCCCATTSCTCACACACCCACCTGCGAGCCCAAAGCCGGCTCTTTTTACACGCACCACAAGGRGAAAACAGGTCCCTGAGAGCCCCCCACTCACACCACACGGGCCCCACGCGGGGCTCCCCGCACGCACACGGGCCCCACGCGTCCCGCGGGGCTCCCGCTCGCCGCCTCCGCGCGGTTCGGCCGCCGCGGGCCGATCCTCACCCTGGCGGGCGCGCGGCGCGGCGGGCCCGCCCGCGCCCGGTGCCGCAGTACTCCTCGCCCGCGTAGAGCTCCATGTGGCGCGCCGCGCTCACCACGGCCACGGCCGCCACCTCCTCGCCGCCCGCCGGCTCGCAGCGCAGCCGCAGCTCGCAGGCCGCCTCGCCCTCCTCCTCCTCCGCCGCGCCGCGGGGCCGCTCCGCCAACGCCAACGCCTCCTCCTCGTCGTCGTCGCTGTCGCTGCTGCACGGGGAGCGCCACGGGCGCGTTACCCGCCCGCCCGCGAGCGCGGCCCGCAGCCCGGCCCGCCGCGCCGCGCCTCACCTCTCGTCGGCGGCGCCGTGGAGCCGCACGCGCAGCGCGCGGGACAGGCCGCCCGGCGGCGCGCAGGGCCACGAGCAGCCCGCCAGCACCCGCGACGGGCAGCTCGCCATGGCGGGGCCGGGACCGGACCGGACCGGACCGGACCAAACCGAACCGAACCGAACGCGGCGGCGACGCCACCAACCGTCACGCGCCGCCCTCCCGGCCGGGCCTCGGCGGAGCGGCGCGAGGCGCATGCGCGAGGCGGGACCGGGCGGGGCTGCGAGCAGGCGGGCGGGGCTACGCGCAGGCGGGCGGGGCTACGCGCAGGAGGGCGGAGCTACGCGCAGGAGGGCGGGGCTACGCGCAGGCGGGCGGGGCGGCCCCCGAGAGGCGGCTGTGGCGGGAAGTGACGGGAGGGTTAGTGGCGGTTGAGGGGGGAAGAATCCAAAACATTGACTATAGATAAAAGTAGCGTGAAACCATGCAAAAGAATGTTGAAAGCCAATGTGTTTTAGTTAAAAAGCAGCAGGTGTGTGGCGTGGTTCGCCTGCTGTTGCTGTTGGCGGGCGTAGCGCGGGGCCGGCGCTCCGGCGGGGTTCTGCCCCTCCAAGAGTGTAAATTCCGCCTCTGGGGACAGGGATCAGCTTGGATGGGCTAATGGTCTCCGAAAAAATGCGGTTATAGACGTTGGTGCGATTTCTGTATTTTCATATATATATATATATATAATGTGCTTTTTTGCATCTCTGAAATAAAGATGAAAAGCAAAACAGAAAGCTGGAATTACAGAGAACAGGTGTTTTGGGTTTTTTTGGAGGGGGCATAGATATTGTTATTGAACTGGAGGCAATCACTATCAATAAATTTTACGTTACTGGTATCAATATTTTATGTTTCTGATCCCATATGACCTTGCTGCATTAACAGTGTCAGTCTTTAGATTAAACCAGTTAGTTCCTGCCATGATTTAAGAATGTGCTGCATTTGCGGGGCGAGAGCGTGAGCTTTTTTCCTCTTTCATTTACTTATTTATTTATTCCTTTAAGCTGTCTAACCAGTTTGGGGTTTTTATTGGTCTTTTTTTTTTTTTTTTCCCACCGAGCTCAAAGGGTGAAACTTCCCTTCCCTTTCCCGGGCAGGTCTCGCAGGGTTTTCCCTGTTGGCCTCCGGAGCCGGCTCTTCTGGTTACCCGGCACAGGGAACGCGGAGCCGCGCGTCCCGTTCGCTCCGACACCCCCAGAGTCGCTCCAGGAAATCCAGGCATGTTAAAATGCAGCCTGGTTTTGTTGGCTTTGGGGCTGGCTCTAACTTTTAGGATARAAGGTAAGTTTTTAGTTTTTGTTATGGAGAAAGGGTTACGCTACTGAGGAGCCTGGGGGAAAGGGTTTGGTCTGCTTTAATGCAAGGGAAATTACCTCTCCTTACAGCACTGGGACTTATCTCCCWTCTAGTTCATTCCCATTCATTTGCCTTCAGCAGCTAGATTTGCATCAATTGCAAGACCTCCACTTTTTGTTGGAAAGTGGCATGTTTAGAACCCGCTCTACAGGCCGTTTCCCCTGCTGCTAGGGCTGCTTTTCCCCTGCTAATGCAATATTTGCACTGCTTTTGGAAACCAGAGTGCTTTCTTTGATTTAGTTAATAACTTCAGATCSTACGAGGATAAAAAGCAAAGAAAAAAGTAAACATTAGGAGCTAGTRCTGTTTGCTAATGCAACATAAACATCTTCATTGTAATGTCAGTCTTTAGTGTTAAATATATAGTTAACGTACTGTATTTGCTTTTAAAAATCCTGGTTTTATCCAATAGATAGAGATTGGCCTTACAAACAATACTGGGGAATCTCAATGGGAAGTTTGGAAGGTRTCCTCCTGCTTATCTGCAATTTCTGTCACAGAAATGGGCTTTGCATTCGAAAAGAAAGGAAATCTTYTTGGTTCTGTATCAAAAGGACAATTTAAGAAGCAGGAACCACCACTTTGGTTGTTAAAATTGATGCCACTGGCCCTTAATGCCCCGGTGATTTTCTAATGATTTAAAAAAGAGTGTGGGCAAATTACAAAAWTAATAATCCAAGTTAACTTGGATTAACTTCAAACACAGTAAAAACATACAGCATTTCTGCAGAGAATGAGACCACACRTACTTAGTATAAACACTGAGAAATACTTTAACACTGAGGAGTACTTTGGTCACCAATGAAAACATCACTTTCTGTGACTTTACCAGCATAATCCAAGAGAGAGGAGATCGAATTRAGTGCGGGCAGTTGGGTCTAATACTGGTGAAATTACTCCTTTTTGGTCTATGGTTTGATCCAAATCACCTTTCAGGGGCCACCAGTTTGCAGATACCAGTCTGATGTATTATCCTTTTTGATTCTTCATAAATTTCAAACTTTATTTTTAGGTGCTTCTTCTGAGCAGACATCCAGCTTTTCTACACCAGAAATAATTGTTCCTCAAAGTCTGACAAGCAGAGAGAACCCTGAGCCACTTTTTCATGAGGTTTGTTGTTGTACATACATTTTTCATCAATGTTGTTCTATATCATACACACAAGATGCACAAAACTCACTGTACAAAACTCACTGGACTCTCAGTACCTTTCAACCTTCTAACCTCTAGGCAGCCTATAAGGCACAAGGGGCAAGGAACATAGGACATATTGCCATTTCCTCCAAAGCTAATTAGATACTGCCTTCAAGCTTGAACTAAGAGCCAGCCCTATCTGTTCCTTACACATTGTACATGGTCTTTGGATAAACACTGGATTTCACTTTCTAGCACGTAAAGGGCTGGTACTTGCTTTGAACAAGGGGCCCCATACAATAGCACRGATAGAATGAGTTGAGAGAGGAAGATTGAAGCCTTTAGTTTTGCTAATTTACCTTTGTGCCTCAGATACAGAGCTCAATTACTGAAATAACTGATAATGAAGTAGTCACCTTTGTACATAGTGGTTATCAAAAAAAGAATGTGTGAGTCGTTCATCCGGCTGCTGCTGATTTGCACAAGGAGTGTCACAGGACATTATGTGGCAATTTCACAGCATGGCTCACCTATGCCCTGCCTGGGAACTGAATCAGACTCCCTTTATCCACACTGTAAATACTTCCTCTCCCTTAGTTTCATCTATTCCCAAGTCTCTAAAACCATGGCATGGTCATATAGATGTAGCTTTCCTAATACACCTTTTTCTTTTGTTCTTTCAGATGCATTATTTCTTTCATTTTTCCTGTTGACTCTGCATACCCTGTGCATTCCCTCTATACATCTTTAATGTTAGACACATTTTTTTTTTGTGGAGTTTATTTACCTTTTTGTTTGTCTTTACAGGGAATTTTAGAGCTTAAATAAAATATAAAATTTCAATTGGAAAGAATGCAAAGTGTGCAACTGAAACTTTGAAATACAAAAAGTGTGAGGTTTAGCGATGTGTGTTTTTTGAACCAGGTTTAAAACATACACATCTCCATTGTCAAAGAAAATATAGAACTCATAYGCCCAGGTAGAAAATCACCTTATTAAGTGATATTTTTGTTCTATTTTCAGGAGCATTCAGATGACAAACTCTCATATTCAGTGAAAACCAGAAATGGAACATACCACTTAAAACTAAAGAAAAATAAGTATGTGATACATTGAACCTAATGAATCATTCTAGTTTGGGATTTAGTTTGATACAGACAAATACTTTTATACTCAAAAAATGCTTGGAAKAAACCTGTTAACTTTCAGCTTGTAGTAATGCAAAAAAACAGTGATTAATAACGGCTGTACTATGCAAATAGAAAGATTTTTTGAAAAAAAAATTGCATTTTATCTTAATATCTTACTGTCACCACAAGATAGTGGATTTTGGAAAATCATTGGGAAAACTTAGAATTTAATTTAACATTAGCTTATCATTAACTGGGATGGGGAGTTTTAGATATGTTGTAACTTGAAGAAACTTGTTTATTTTTGTTGTTCCTCATTTCTGAGTCCAGATCCTGATAAAACATACCCTGGTCAAATCCTACTGCATAGGTACCTAYGTTAAAATATTTTAAAATAGCCTATTTTCCAAATGGTGTATCTCATTTTTAAGCTATTTTGTTTCATGCCCTTGGAATTTAACAATAATTTAGCAAAGGAGTGCTACTAATAGAATGTAGTCSTTATGATTCTTGATTTATATCTTGCTTTATACTCTGGTAAAAGACTGGGCTTATTTTTGTTTGCAGAGAGCTTGTTAGTGAAGACTTTAGAGTATATACATATGGGAAAAATGGGAAACTGGAGACTACACAATCAAAAATCAAGGTATTGTATCTAATAAAGTTCCCTGTTTGAGTTTCCTCAACCCTAGGAAACCAGATTTTATACATTGAATGTCATATTAACAATTTGTTAGAAACGAGGATTACAAAAAGATGTATATGTATCTAAATGCATTTGCAAAGCAAAAACCATTATGCAACCATTCACTCTGAATGTCTTCRTGTCTGTATGATAGAGCAGTGAAAACTGATTACGTTTTTGGCAGCAGAAGGGAGAGTATAACTGATGCACATAAAGTATCTAGGGAAGAAAAAAAAATGCGGAAAAGAGGTCGGTTCTAATATTTGTGACATTTGTGTTTAAAAAGAATTGCTGATGCAAAATATAATGCCCTATGAGGGTCTATTGGTTCCAAGATGTGAAAGGAGACTTGAGAAATTTTTGCCAAGATTGGAGTTGAGCTGCGTGGTTATGTTGCCATTGCATCGTGTACAGTTCAAGTACAGTGGTAACACCAAAGCTCCATAGTTTCGAGGCTCTGGATCAAGGAAGCCTTAAGCAGGCTTTTACTTTTAATTTCAACATAAGCATGTGAGCCCTGTAAAACTTACTGGGTGCTTCAAGACTGAGAAAGCTTTTTTTGGTGTAATTAATTTAAGGTTTTCTTGCATTTCAGGCACACTGTTATTATCATGGCACTGTTGAAGGAGTTGCTGATTCAGTGCTTGCTCTTAGCACATGTGATGGCCTTAGGTACTACCATTTCCTTTTTACTTTAAGATAATTAATTGTGCAGTACCACAGTAAAAACATTAAAAGGCAGTTGCTGTCATTATTCATCAAACAGCAGGAAAAAAATAATGTTCTAGATTATACAGATATTATTGATGGGCTGCATTTAGAATTTAGCTTTCAGAGCAATGGGAATGTTTCAAATGCAACATTTATGTTAATCTGAGATAAATAAAAGAGCCAAATTAAATTATAAAGGGTGGCGATGTTCTCCCAGCTTCTCCCAGTGGAGTCTCCCATGTGAGTTGACAAAAAGCAATGGGAAACACAGCGAGCTGTGCGGGCATCGTGAGCGCCCACCCGCTGGGCGAGGGCTCTGCTTGGTGGTTGGATCTCCTTTTGGACGAGCAGGAGGAGTCAAACGTGAAAATACACCTAAATATCCTTTCTGTAGAGCATTGAAGTGAGATGCCAGTCAATAAATAGAGCCATTTCATGGCAAACAATCAGCAGACTGGTGTTTCAGTTAACATTTGACCTCACTAAACAGAACAGAAATGTCATTTCAGGTGTTCTGCAAATTTATGCAGACTCAACTCCTTCAGGTGCCTCGAACACCTGGTCTTGAGGATTTTCTTTCACAAAGTAGTAACTAGAGAATTTTGTTTTTATAGTTTAACATTCTGGAAAACAAGATCATAGCTTCAGAAAGATTCTCTTACAGCAAATGAAGCAGGTGTTCCAGCGTCATGGACAAATGCAAAATCATTTTACTTGGCTGCACGAAGTAGTGCAATACTGCTGTTCCCCTCATAAACACCCTGGTGATTTTAGCCTCTCTTTCCATCTATATTAAAGGCATCTTTTTCAGAAAAGCTAGATTACTTTAGCTACATGGAGCTTCAAGTGAGACTAGAGAAAAGGACCAAAATAGTTCCTTTGCTTCAGCCCTGTATCTGCAATCCAGTCTTTTCAATTTAATAATGATTAGACTTCTTGAGGAGCCACACACTTGTGTATGATTATTTTCAAAAAGTTCTTTTTTTTTTTTTTTTGTCTTTTGAGGTACTGTTGTGCATTTGAATTTAGCTCCCATACYAAGATAATTTATTTTAAGGTGGTAATTTATTCTGGTGGCACGAAGAGTCCTAGTTCCTAAATATTCATCTTTCATTCACTCGGTCACAACTGTGACACATTTCATTCTTTTGTGATTCCTAGAGGAATGCTCTACATTGATGGCAAGTGGTACGGAATGGAGCCACTCAACACGTCCAGCACTTTTGAACACCTTTTTTACCAGTTAGAAGATGTGCATCRTGCCCCTTTGCGCTGCGGTGTGCTGAATGACAGTCTGCATCACACAACGACATCTGTGAAGCATTCTGTGAAATACGCGTTTCTATCAAACAGTACCTCCAGTGGGGAAAAGCTTTTGAGGGTAAATACAGTTCTGCTTCGCTCTCAAGGACTGTGATCAACCCCCTTTCCTCACATTGTTCCAGTAACCAGACACATATTGGTATTTATGTGGAAATCTAACACAAATTGATTTTGGGGGCCGCATTGAAAAATGGACTGATGTGCTATAGATAGAAGAAACAGAAATCATGAGAAAAATAAATTTAAAAAGTATAACTTACTAGTCATTTTTAACTTATCATTCTTTCTGTTTACAGAAGAAGCGTGCTGTCCTGCCACAGAAAAGCTATGTGGAATTGTTTGTGGTTGTGGATAACAACAGGGTAATTGTTTCATCCGATGTTAAATACATTTTATTAAATTATTAAAATTTTTCACTGACATCTTCATGTGGTATTTTACAGTTTTTGATGAAGAAATCTGACTCTGCTGAAGTGCAAAAGGAGGTAGTTGAGCTGATAAATTATGTTGATGGGGTAGGTGAGTTCAGTCATTCAGTGGTTTCTGTTTTAACAGTTTACAAAAGTATTAATACAGTAAATAGTACTATTACGTTCTGAAACTGTATTTGGTGGTTACTTATCAATGTTTAATATAGTTAAAGAATGTAATGAATATATGCACAAGGCTTGCATCTCACTGCTTGCCTACAGCTCTGCGGGCTGGTTTTAAACCATTTCTTTATGATCCCAGACTTTGGCTGCACCAGGAACCTAAGGTCTCCAGTACATGTTWTATTTCCAAGATGCCTCTTTCTCTTGATTGTAGTTATTTATTATTTCTCTTAAGCAACATATCAGAACTGTGAAGAATTCCTTATGTTGATTTCTGATCATCTCTTCACAATTCCTCCTCRAGACAGTTGCCTAAGGGAATGGATGAACAGGGTTATTTCAACCTCTCATACCTGAAAGTTATATTTAAGTGCTTCAGTGAAGTCGATGGCCTTCAGTCACATATTCTTTCCTTGTGTAAAACTAAGTATTAATTATTGAAATAAAGTTATGTTTCCATTGTTCAGACTAATGTTTATTAGGAGGTATTGATGCAGTCTTTTAGAATTCAGCTGAACCACACTGATAGATAGTAATTATCATTGTGTATTTCCAGATGTATAGTGCTTTAAACATCCAGATTGTTTTGGTTGGCTTAGAGATCTGGTCAGATACAAACCACATATCTGTAATGGATGGCTCAGCAGGGGATGTGCTGAGCAGATTTGTTTCCTGGAGACAAAAAGATCTTCTTAAACGATCAAGAAACGACGCTAGCCATCTCATAATGTAAGTTTTGGTTCAGTGCAAAAACATTTCCCTCTCTCAATATTGTTTCTGTATATGATTTTGTTTTTGTATATGTATGAAAATACAACKGCAGCAAAGTTGATTCATCTTCTGAACTCTTTAAAACAGGGGAAAAAAAAATACTTCTGGAATGAATTCCTTATTCTCAATCAACTCACTGAAATAGCAGATTTATGTGATCGTGGCTTTCAAGAAGTGCTCTGCAGCTGTTTATGATTAGTAGCAGTGACACCTTGATCTAGAGAAAAAAAATATCTTGGCTCCAGGAAGACTAAATTTTGTCTTGCAGTTATCTGTGTTTCTCAGCAGAAATTACAAACTCTCAGATCCTATTTTAATAACACCTTCAAACTGCTTTTCTTGCAGAGGGAGAAGCGCTTACAATGGAGCCATTGGAATGGCTTTTGTAGGCACCGTCTGTTCACAAGTCCAGGGAGGGTCAATAAGCACTGTAAGTAAAGAACTTTATGATTTACATAAGAAGCTACACAGGAATAGCTTATTTATCCCTTATATAATATATATATAGTGCTGCTATACAGAGAGGTCTCACAGTTGAACATTTTCTTCTATACATTCACACTACCCAAAGTTGTGTGTCTGTTGCCACTGCTGACTTTGCCTTCAGATTATGTTCATAGGTAATGCACATTTTGTTGACATCTTTCGACAAGTCACGCAGGACTGAGAGTGACTTGGGATGGTACAGTTTCTTTAACTGGGTTTCCTATGTATAGATTTGTATTTATTATTATACTTACATGAAAAATAAATGTATGTCACAGTTTCTCTGTTCTTCACATTCCAGTTTGCTTGACTAATTTGGTCCTGAAAGCATTCTTTGRTGACCTTATCTTAATTCATTTAACTTAAGATTCTATTGGAAAAGCCCATACTCCTAACCTTAAGGTTCCTAAGCACAGTATTTCTCAGATATGAATGCGGCCACAACGTAACATATTTTTTGACTCTTTTTGTGGATAGAGAATGAACGTGTATAGCACATGAAATGTGCTAAGCTCCCAAGTGCCCAGAATTCTCCCCAGCAGGGCTGTGAATGGGGAAATATTCTACATTTGGCAAAATCAAGCAGAAGCGGCTTTTCCTGTCCTTCAGCCTTGAGGGCAGAACCGGTATCTTCTGCAGTTCTTTATCATATGGATGCCATAGTAGCAAGAACAGTCTCAGAGCCAGATTCTGTCCTTTGTGTTTACTATGTTTATCTCTGAAGATTTTGCTGAAATCAATGACATTACTGATTACGTGTGGTATTCAGAATATAATCCTGACAGAAAGAACAGGAAGAGTGGCATAAAGAACAGAAAGACTGGCCCTAAAAGCAAAATAACAATTTGTTTGGTCTTTCTGCTTCTTTCTTTGCAATACTAGATTCTGTCTTCCTAGCTTCCTYGAGACTTGAGGCTTGAATAAATCATTAAGTAGAAACATAGTGATTCTTTTAGTTTCATAAATATTTTTTAACACTGATTCTCTTTATTAGTTTAATCATAACAATGTGTTAGGTCATGCTACAGTAGTTGCACATGAATTGGGCCATAATCTTGGAATGAAACATGATGACAAAAGATGTCCTGCATCCTACATTATGAACAGCATAGATAAGTAAGGTTTCCTTTTATCTTATTTTAATCATTTTTATTTATATGTGGTGACTAGGTCTTATGATCTGTAAAACTCCCCTGAAAATTAAAGACCTTTTGTGAATGGAGAGTTTGTTTGAGAAGTTTAATCATAAAGATATATCCAATGACTTAGAACTTGATGTCATTTTAATGTGTTTGAAACATTACCTGTTTTCTGATCTGTCGATTCTTTTATTTATAGCATGTGAAAAGGTTAATTAGATCTTGGATTGTGTTTCTTAATGTTAGTGCATTGCTGAGAATGCTCTGCATATACTCTGCATATATATACATATGCAGCATATATATATATATATAGATATAGATATAGATATAGATATAGATATAGATATAGATATAGATATAGATATAGATATATATAGGCTGTGTTTCTTTCAGTTCATTTGTCCTTTGGCTTTTCTTTAAGAGAAAAAGACCAGATTATTTTATCTGTTTCCACTTGTATTAATAAAGCACAATAACCAAACCCTGGACCAAACTATTGGGGAAAGACACATTCCTGAGGTCCTAGGCATTCCAAATTAAAGTGGTACATTTTCCTGGAAAATACATTTTAATCACATTTTAATTTTGGGACTTAATTCAAACCACAGATTTTTGAGGCCTATTTCAAATAGGTCATCAGAATAGATATTCCAGTGGGCTCTTGCTTCTGAAAGTGTATCTACATTTGTTAAATATGGTATCTTTTAAGTTCAAGGATTGCCATCCTCTAATACAAGCAAAAGTAAAAACAATCTCTCTGGTGATCTCTAACATTAAATAACATAGACTGAATGATACTAAAGGATTTGGCTTGCATTGCTTTTTGTAAGAAAAGTATTTATATAAAAATAACATCATGTTTTTCAGTGGCTCCAGGAATTTCAGCAGCTGTAGTGCAGATGATTTTGAGAATCTTATTCTACATGGAGGAGGAAACTGCCTCAGAAATCCCCCCAAAACAAGTAATATTTACAAAGAACCTGTCTGTGGTAATAACGTGTTAGACAGCAATGAGGAATGCGACTGCGGCAGACCACAGGTACAGTGAAGTTCTGCTGGATGCTTGTTCTTGTCCAGGCCTTTGGCACATCTTATTTCTATTTATATGTGGGAAATTTTCCTTGTAAGTTTACATTGTTGCAAACAGCATGAAGATAAATTTTAGAAAATATCTAAAATCATACTTTGATTTTGATGTGAACTTAGCTAAGGGCTACTGAACTTCACAGAACTTTGAACCAATGACTGAGTAAGCCATATATTTCAGTGCAAAAAGTGAAAGACAATCTTTTTTGATTTTTTTGTCTATTTTGTTTGCTTTTGGTTTTCTTTTTCTTTTTTTGTGCTGCTTTTTGCATCATAGATCTGTTATATAGAAGGAAATATTAAATTACTTAGCACTTAATGGATTCCTAACTGTAACTTCCRAACTTAGAACAAAACAAAGCCACCTTTGTTAGTGAAATTCACATCGTCTCAATGCCTRTCTCTCAAATGGGGTGTTTCACTCTTTCTTTAGGAAACAGAAATTTCTCAGACCATGAGCAAATCAGAAGGCTGTTAATAAACCCAGATTCCATTGTRCAGGTCTTCTAACTCATGAAAAGATACCAACACTTTCCTACATCCAACTATAAGTGCAGAGGAAAAAGAAAACGGGAGGAGAGATAGGAAATGTTTCTTGGAAATAAGAGTGTCTGTTTCTTCTGGTGTCCATTTAGAATATAATTTTCTTCTATATGCCTATAATTTTCTCCTGTACGACCCTTTTGATGGTCACAGCCATCAAAACACAAGTTTTTCTGGGGACTTGTAGTGCAAAAACACAGCCAAACTGTGTGCTGGAGTCCATGAGAACAGAAGAGGATCAGCCTCAGAATATTGATGAGAGAGGATGTATTTAATGGTTTTGATTTACCCACGCTCTACTTTGCTGATGTGCTTCCCAAATCCCCAGCTGTACAGGGAAGTAAAACCACTGTATCCCCCTGTTTGTGGCTGTGCTTTAGGAATGTACAAACCCCTGCTGTGATGCTGCAACCTGCAAACTCACCTCTGGATCACAGTGTGCTCAAGGGCTGTGCTGTGAAAATTGCAAGGTAGGCTGTGTTGTATTAAGATACATTGATAATAATTACTAGTTTGKTTTTTTTAACATAAAACAGTGGTTTTAAATGTGTTTACATGTAAAACATTGTGTTTAATTATTTATGGGTACTAATATTTACTGTAGTATCTCTTGACATGTTTTCACGTGATCAAGCCTGCACTGCACAGCAGAGATCATGTAAGCAGGGCATTCGGGTCTAATCACTCTTGGCCAGTGACTTGGAAACCAGATGTCACCTCTGTGTCATCGCTCAGAGCTATCTCAATAGCAGAGATCTCCATCAAGAAGCCTAAGCTCCTCCACAGCCTAGAACAGTTGCCTGCTTTATTAATTTGTGCTTGTATATGTGTTTTTATACATACACTACCACCATATGAAATTGAGGGAAATTTTGGACATTTATTGGGTCTGAAGATCTCTTTGGTCTTCCCTAAAATCCTAAATGCTTCCCAGTTGTCACGTTTCTAACATGTTTTAGGTTAGAATTTCTGCTGTGCAAAATAAGTCTCTGTTTCTAGTTTAAAGTGGCAGGAGCAGAATGCAGGTCCAAAAGGGATTTCTGTGACCTCCCCGAGTACTGCAACGGAAGCAATGCCTACTGCCCAGAAGATGTTTATATCATGAATGGTTACCCATGTAACAACCAGAAAGAGTACTGCTACTATGGAGTGTGCCAAAGTTTTGATTCACAATGTGAATCCATATATGGAAAAGGTATTTTTTTTTAATTTTATATGTAAGAACTCCTGATAGACATTTCAGATTCTTATCTTTCTTGTATTTCTGAGACATTGTGATGGCTTACTGACATTTTCTGTTATTCATACAGGGGCTCGCAAAGCGCCTGATGTGTGCTTTGAAAAAGCCAATATTAAAGGAGATAGATTTGGAAACTGTGGAATGACAGGTGGAGTATACAAGAAATGCCCTGTTCAGTAAGTCACCAGTAAATAAAGGCTAAGCCTAAAACCTTTAATGTGGAAAATTCATCTTGTTGCAAACATGAGATTTAAGAAAAGAATGTTTGCTTGAAATGCAAGCTGAGAGGTTCCACTGGGCAGTGTGTTTGCACTGCTCGTGTTTCTTTGTGTCACCTTTCTCTGAGTGTCACTCGTTCATTACAGACACAGTCTGTGTGGCAAGATCCAGTGCACTTCTGTGAGCCTTCAAAACCTCCCTGCTTGGAGTGTTGTCAACAATGCGTCCGGGGTTTTGTGCTGGTCTTCTGACTTCGACTTCGGATCAGATGTCCCTGATCCTGCCCAAGTTCAYGAGGGAACAGCCTGCGGAGAAGAGAAGGTAAGGAAAAGCACGGCAGTGCTACGGAATGTRTTCCAACAGCTGGGAGGTTCTCCCTAACTTTGTAAGTGTTAAGTTGTATGATACATTTTTTTTTGTATTACTGTATTGTGTGTAATGCATCCTGAACACTTTTCCCAGGCTTGTGTCAATTTTGAATGTGTTAACGCGAGTTTCCTGGGCTACAGCTGTGACGTGAAGCAGAAGTGTAATGATAATGGGGTGAGTAGAGGGTGTTTTCATGCTGTTTGTGGAAGACAGTGATAGGTGCAAAATCCCCACATAAAACCAAAGAGCAGAGAGTGACTTTGCTTTTTTTTTTCCCTCATCTTTATTAAAAGTGAAGTCCTTTTTTTTAATCTTTGTGTCATTTATATACTGTAAACCTCTTAGCACTAAAAGACATTTTCTTMTTCATTTTTCAAAGGAATCTTTTTTATATATATTTCTGAGTTGCCCAAATATAAACGGAGAATACTCTTTTGAAAAGGACTTTGATTTAGATCTATCAAAAATTAAAATGGGTTGTAAAACTGAGCAGCTATTATTCAAGCTGTTTCAGGCAAATGCAACTGTACTTTATCACAGGCAAATAATAATAATAGGATTAAATGCTATGGACATGTGGCATCAGTGTCTAACTCATAGTGATTTGGGATGTTACCGAGGGGAAGAGCGTGTTCCCAAACAGTTCTTCTTTCTCTGTGAAATACTTGTTTCTACAAACAGTTCTTAATGTGGAAATCCAAGGATACCTTGGAGGGTGGAAGTGGCCACTTGCCAAAAAACAAAAACAAAAACAAAAAAAACCTCTTCGGCCTTTTGTCATTCTGTCGCTGCTTGGCTATTCGGTGTTGTCCTGACTGCAGGTGTGTAACAACAACGGGAACTGTCACTGCAGCTACGGATGGGCACCCCCGTTCTGCAACCAGCCGGGCTACGGCGGCAGCATCGACAGCGGCCCGGCTCACATAGGTGGGATCCTCTAATAAAATAACCTACTATACACGTTTTTGCAGGGCTTTTCTGTTTGCTTTGTTTTGTTTTTTTAAGAGAGATTTTTTCTACTTCATGGGATGCTCCGTCATGGGCTGACTAGCAGAGTAAACAGATTATCTGATGTGTAGGTCTGCAGACCTCAGTTCAAGAGAGAATCAGACCTATTTTGTATAATGTATAAAAACCTATACATTAATGTTTACAATTACTGCTACAGATTTTAACTATGCATTATGACCAAAAAAAAAGATGTCAGGTAGCAAGATTGTAGCTGGAGAATAAATCAGCAGCCCTTGTGTACTGAAAGAGTCTCACTGAGATCCTCTGAGGAATTAAGGAGGAGATCCAAAAAATTGCTTCACTTATCTAAAATAGTAAAACATTTAGAAATTTGACTAAGGAAAAAAAGAGTAAATTTTTGCTGGGCTTTGGACTGAGAGACCATGAAACCTCTTTTCCCTCTGTTTGTTTGCAAACAAATTTCATCTGTAACTTTGCGAAGTAGAAGACAACTCATATTTTTATCAAATTTTATCAAATTTGTATTTGGGGAAAGGCAAATGCACTGTTTTTTAATCTGTTCATAACTTCAGCAGAGAAAGGTCATGCAAATCAGGTGTGTGTAAGCATACCCAAAATGATTTAGATTTCTTCACAAAATATGTGAAAAAAGGAAGATTGTGCAATGATGGGTAAGGAAGGAAAAGGAACTTGYGGTCACATCAGGGCAAAACCTCCTCTGATCAAGAGCATTTTGTAAAACTCTGGAGCTACTAATTTTCATCTGTAGTAATTTGAAGATCGGGGGTTTTACAACAGAAAGGTGTTTCTTTAGCAGCAAAATGTTTTAATGAGAAGATGATTTCACACAATTTCAATTTTTTTTTTTCTAGATACATCCCTTCGAGATGGCCTGCTTGTGTTTTTCTTCCTTGTGCTGCCAATCCTGGTCGTTATCGTGGTAGCAGTCATTAAGCGGGATGCAATAAAAAGAAGGTTTTGCAGGAAAAGAAGACGACAACGCAGGTATTGCTTTATTACAGATGGGTATTTCAGSACTTGAGAGCCTGCTCAAAATTAACTCCAAAGCRAAGTATGCTCTGAATTAGCTCCACACATTATATATATAAAGAATATTGTACCTACTACAAGCCCGCCTTGCTGCTAGTAGTGTAGGTAATAGTGGTAATCCAGATGTTTCAGCTGTGAAATCTCAAATGTATTTTTTTTTGTCCTAAAACATATTGCACTTTCCTAGTTGTTTTTCATAAACTGTGTTGGATGGGCACACGGGAGTAGAATATTGAAATTAGTTGTCAAGCCCAGAAAACAGACAGGTTAGAGTCTACATCTTTAAGCCTAATCCCTTCAGAAGCATTGCTTCCCTGAACATAATTAAGTCAAGTTGTGATTTTCATGATGATTTTTATTTCAGGGATAACAATGTGCAGCAACCAAAACAAAATAATGCAACAACTCAGAATACAAGGAATAATGAGGTAAGACAGATACATATCTGCATTATTTAGAGTATTTTACAGTGTGTTCTAATATAGTTACTGATGACTTTGTGATTTGTTTTTGATATACTAATACCATCATAGTCTCCAAGTATTTAAAAGAATTTATAATGTGTTGGGCAAGACTTCTGTTTTGGTGGATGGGCCTTGGGTTTTGTGGGATGGAACAGGCTCCTACTCAGCAGAGCAGCCAAAGCAACTTTGCAGCTGGACTCTGCCTCTTGCCATGAGAGAAGCTGCCACCTCAGACCATGGATTTAGTTCTAAAATAAAATACAAATAGGAAAACAAAAGCTGTGAGAGGGTACAAAGAACATCACCATATGCGAAAGAAAGCTCTGAAATRCCATTAGCTTAAGAGTCTTCAAATTAAAAAGTATTCCCAAAAATTATTCACAGAATTAAATATTCTGTGAATATTTAATTAAAATACTTAGTAAGAACAGTTCATATAGAGACTTGCAAAACTTGCTAACTCTTTTCTCTGTGGTACCTTTTCCAGGCTACAACATCAAGTCCTGATTTTTTTACCATATCACATTTTCCTAATCCAAGGTTTGTGGTTTTTAATTGCTTCTGAATGTCTGCTGTGTATGCATTACTGTATTTTTACCAGTTTTATATTATATTTTTACATTACTGGGTTTTTCAGACAGCATCATGAGATAAAAGAGCAGTTTCCAGTGTATGTAGCTGCAGGGCAGCTGATCCAGCCTTGCTTTAGAAATGGCAGGTCTGCTCCAAGCCATCCAGTAGAGGGTCTTTGTCCATATTTTCTATTTATAGGCAATTAAAATGCACGAAAGAGAAATTCTGTTTTACTGCTTGTGTAGAAACCAGCATAACAGGGCATGTAAATGCTACCAAAGCAGTGTATGCACAATGTTTGCAAAAGGGTGGTTAAGTATCAGATGAGAAAAATGTTGGCAAGGTGGACTTTCTAGCTGCAGTTGTCTTAAGTCTCGCAATACTTCACAAAATGTTTTTTTTTCCCCACACTTTAGGCAGCCAATACAAACCCATTTTCCTGCAGTTCCTTCAAGACCCAACAGCTCTACACCAGCTGTCTGAATGTTTCTTGAAAGCCCTCCCAATTACAGACCACTAACTGATCTGAAAAAATAGGTGAAAGGTAAAAAATTATGGAATGCTCTAGTAATTGTTTTCCTATCACAATATGAAGATTTGAGTCTGTCAGTGACTTTCTTATGCAATGAAAACACTTTCTGAAAACCTTATGCCACTGGAAAAGACTTGATGTTCAAAGTCACCCAAGATTTCACAATATCCCATTGTTTTGCTAAGAACTGCTGGTGATCTTTTTGTCTCACCTACCTCACTTTTTTTTTCCACTGTTGAAAAACATCTCTTAAGAAATTATCTGTTGTTAAGTGAAAAAATAAATCTGTTTTTCAAGTTCTAAGTGTGACCATTAGGAAGTGGCACTGATTTAAAAGAAAATGTATGAGATAAGATGGTTCTTTGAAACCACAACCTATTATGAAGACTGAAAACTGCTTGGAAGCAACAAGATTGCTGCAGAGAATCCTTCCTCGTATGTGGTGGCCACTGATACAACTGGAGGAAATGGCCACAAACTGAAGCACCGAAAGTTCCACAGGAACTTAAGGAAAAATTTCTTGACAATGAGTGACAGAGCCTGGCACAGGCTGCCCAGAGAGGCTGTGGAGTCTCCTTCTCTGGAGGTCTTCAAACCTCTCTTGGACACAGCCTGTGCCCTGTGCCCTAGGTGACCCTGCGTGTGCAGGGGTTGGACTAGATGATCTCTACAGGTCCCTTCCAACCTTAAGGATTTTGTGATTCTAAGTGGGAGAGCACTGTGCTCACGGATGAGGTCTGGGAATAGGAGGTARCAGGGAACACAGGATGTGATCAGCTCCCAGGGAAACAGCTCTGCCTCCTCCCATAGTGGTTTCACATAAGAGATGGACGAAAGAACACAAAACCAGGGAGCCCCTTCCCAGTAATCACCGTCTTTACAAATCCTGGAAATCTGAAATAAATGTATCTATGAATTAAGATTCCAATCGTTCCAATGTGCTTAACACGCGTAACGTTAATAAAATCGATCCATCCGCGAGGAATGACCGTCACCAATGGCCCCAGGTCCCCGAGCGCAGCGCCCCCGGCCACACCCCGCGCCTCACAGCTGGCGCCTGCGCAGCGCCCGCGCTCCCCCCTCCCCCGCACCCTGCTACTGCGCATGCGCGTCACCKCAGAGCGCCACACACTCCCTCCCCTCGGACACTGCCACTGCGCATGCGCGTCACCTCAGAGCGCCACACACTCCCTCCCCTCGGACACTGCYACTGCGCATGCGCGCGCCGCCGCAGAGCACCACACGCCTCTTGGCCGCGGGTACTGCCACTGCGCATGCGCGCGCCAGCTCGCAGCCCCGCACCACCATGGAGGTGGCATGCGGGCGGCAGCGTGTAGGGCTGTGCGTGCTGTGCGGGCTGCCCGCGGCCGGCAAGTCCAGCCTGGCCCGCGGGCTGCGCCTCCGCCTGCCGCGCCGCCAGCGCTGGCACTGCGGGCTCCTCCCCTACGACGAGCTCATCCCGCCGGAGGCCATCGCGCCCGCCGCGCCGGGGGCGGGAGCGAMCGGGCTCGCCCCATTGGTCAGTGCCGCCTGCCGGCTTCCTATTGGCTGGCGCTGGCCAGTGGCGGGCGCTGCAGCCTCAGGAGGGTGGGGCGTGGGGGGGGTGGCCGTTAGCGGCGCTGAGGGGAGGCCGCGCTGAGGCGGTGGCCGCCATCGCCATGTTAGGGGTCGTTGTCATCGCGTTGTGCTCTGTGCTCTGCTCTTTCCTAGCCCTCGCGCTGGAAGTCCCACCGGCACGAGCTGCTGCGGTGYCTCGAGCACCTCCTGCAGGCTCTCACTACCGGCGGTCCCTTGTCTGCCCCCGCTGGCTGCACCGAGGCAACGTGGGGGCGCTTCGTGGCCTGCTGCCGAGGGCAGGGTCTGCTCTCCTCACCGGCACCTGCAGCCGCCGATTGCCACTTCCTGGCCAACGAGGCCACGTCTAGGCCGCTGTACCTTATTCTGGATGACAATTTTTATTACCAGAGTATGAGATATGAAGTGTACCAGCTGGCTCGCAAATGTAATTACCCCTCATTCTCTTACATAGAATTGAAGTAATTGGATTTTTCATTTTTATCACGAAATAACTATTAAATGGGGCATCAACTACCTTTGCTAATTCCTCTTGTGGAACATGTGCTAGTTTTTAGTTACCAGACATCTAAAATACAGTAAGCAGAGATAACTGCTACTGTGTTATTAGAAATTGTTAGTTCATATAAAACTTCCCTCGTACCTGTTGTTCTCAGAAGTTACAGCTGCTTCAGCCTTCAAGGTAAAAATGTTGATAGTCTTAGAGATTCAGAACGAGTATAGAAATTGCTAGTTCAAATACAGCCCTGGTCAGGCAGGTTGGTGCTCTCGGGAATTCTCCCTCGAGCAGCTTTTAAAGTCAAACTGTCTGTTTATAATTCTAGATTCATTGAGCTTCTGCCAGATATTTCTAGAGTGCCCACTTGAACAGTGCTTGCAAAGAAATCGCCTGAGAAGTGCCCCTATACCAGATCAGACAATATATCAGATGGCAAGAAAAATAGAAATGCCAGATCTTGAGAAAAATGCTTGGGAAAAGAACAGCCTCATCCTGAAAAGCTCTGAATGTGCTTTGGAGGATAAGTATGTCACTGTATTGATGCTGAAGTTTTAAATAAGATCTGATTTTATAAAAAGGCAGGTAAAACCTTTTTCACTATATCCAAACAATATATAGAAAATATTCTGTATGGGGATTTAACACTTAGTAAAAAATCACATAGATGTCTGAAGCCTTAATACTGGAAAACAACAGCTGTGGGTTTAACCACAATTACATTTCATTTATTTTTCAGTATAAATATTATTTCACTGATTACTTCACAATTTTAACTGAAAGTTTGCTTATCTTATTTTTTTCTGTGATATCTTTACAAACACCAGAAGAATTAACCAAAYAGTTTCACTACATGTATGTTTTACTCCTGCTTCTTCTCTTTAGTTTGCAGWTAATTGACTTACTGGCCAATGCTTTGGAAAATCCAGTGAAGCAAAATGAGGAGAATACAGAGCAAAAGGTAGAACAATTTGTCTTTAAGGTTGTGGTTCTTTCAGATGATAGTGAATAAATGAGTAATATATTCCTGAATTGTGTTCTGACCACCACCATGACAACAGGAGTTGAGAAATGCCTCGTTTGTTTTCTTGATTGCAAAAGCATGTACATAAAAGCTAGCTGTAGTTGAAGTGGGTATTTCTTTTAGCTTGGTGACAAGCTGAATGAAATGTAATGTGTCGGCCTCTATTCCTCCTTTCTGCTCATCCTTTTGGATAGGAAGTAGATCGAGCGATCTGTGCAGCTAGTGCCATCCATGGAGCTGATCAGACTTGCAGGCGAATCATCTCTCAAGCAATGAAGAATGCGAAAGGTGGGCACAGCACACTGCAGYGCAGCTGCAGCCTGAGCTGCAACTGTGAGACTCCTTTGGGGTAAACCATTGAGGAACCACCATCCTGCAGGTGTGACTGAGGCAAKCAAATGCCATGTCAAAGACAGACTCACATAGACCTAAGCCTGTAAAGTTTGCCTGTATACATGAATATAATACTAGAGCTTTTATTTTCTTTTAGATAAAAATGTACATCCAAGTGAGWTGAAGGTCCTGGCAGAAGAACTCAACAGACTCAAAGCAGCATTTTTAGATGATCTTCGACAAGGAAGTCATCTGAAAAATCAGATTTGCCAGACCAATAGCGACCCAGTAACAAATGTAACTTCTTCATTCCAATATAAGGCAACCACTATAGTCAATAAATATATTTTAAAATAATAAATTTGATCCTCTTTTTTTTTCCAGAATTGAGATTATTAAAAATGTAGCATGGCTTTTAGCAGCATTGCTCAAAAAAGTTCAGTTCTACATGGTGATCTGCAATCTCAAAATTCATGTAGTCCTGAGCACTTGTACAGCTCCTAAGTGCCTCAGCAAGGATGGAGCTTAAGATTTGGGGCATAAAGGAGCATCTGTATAGTTCACTACACCATCTACAGTCAGGACGTAGACACCTGAATCTGCTTCCAGTCCTGGTTTATTTCCCTTTTTCAGAGGCTGGGCCTCTCTGCTTGATTCCCTGACAGCAGCTTTACAAAGAAAAGCGAGAGACAGGGACAAACTTCAGCTTTGGCTCCTGTGCCTTGTGTGCACGTAGGTGTGTGTCTGTGCACAGGATTAACCTGGCTGCCTGGAACAACTCAGAAGTTGACACTGGCATGAGCGCTGTGATGAAAAGTACACACAGAAGACCCCTTAATTAGAAAGTGTTATTTTATTCATATCTTACAAAAGCAAAGCTTCACAACATGAACTACAATAGATATAGTCAAGTTATTTCAGAACTTGGTCTTCTGAAAACRCTCACTACACAATAAAATTTATTTTACAACTCTAACAACTTCCATTTTTGCATACAAAATATGCTCTTTACATTGAAATACATATTATTAACAAAGCAGGTACTTAGAAGCACATACACAAAAGATTGCTCAATGAAAAATGCTTCGGCAGGGAAGAGATTTTCCTTCAGCAGAACGTCCATTTGCTGTAGTTTTTTAAAGAAGCTTAAAATTAATGAAAAACTTGCCAGTGAAAACTTCTAAATTACATTCCCTTCGTCAAAAGAAAAAACAAACACACAAAACTCAAAACATTCTGGAATAAAACAAACAGTAACAGAGTGTGTGCTAGAAAACACCATTGGAACGTGTCTTCTAGCACTGGATTTTATGYTAACACACCAACATTTTATGTCAAAATCATCTTTATCTAAACATTGCATCTGTGAAAAGTCAGCTATTAATCCCTGTTAAGCTGCTCTGCAGCTGGTTTAAGTATTAACAGAGATAACTAATCTAGCAACAACTTCATTCTAATATTTGTATGTTTGGTGGAATATTCTCACTCGAAATACTAAGTCTGTATTAAGAGTACTATAAATAGTGCATGTTAAAAATATGTCCAAAACTCTATAAAATAATCTATGAAATAAAAAACTCCACAAAAGTAATGTTTTCTAACTACAGAACAGAATCAAACTGGGGAAACATTTCAGCTCATCCCCAAACTTTCCTGTTAATACAAGTTAAAAAGCTAATCAGCACCTTATAATACATTATAAGGATTTGCTTTGTTTTTAGGTTAGTGCAGTCTAGCACGTGGAGAGCTCAATCTGGAAAGTCCTACTAACCAAGGCTTTATCCTGCAGTTCCTCACAAGGATCCCTCATTTATTCTGAATGAATAAGGTTTCCTTGCGCAAGAATTATTGAGGACCATACTTTAAAATATTTTTGCAGAATTAATTCTGCTCTTTAAATTATAGTAAATGGTATACACAAAATCATTAAAAAAAAAMCCTACTATGCAAATGCACCTTCCAAACATACTCAGTAGTCAGAAGGAAATAGGTATAAGTCAAGATACTGTTTGGCACAACTGAACATGCAGTATGATGCTGGAAAACAAGAATCCTGCTCCAGGGACTAGGAAGGCAGCAGGGATCCAACCTACACATCGAGTTGCAAACGGCAGGATGCCAAAGCCAGTTGCSTCACAAAATCCACCCCCTGCAAATGCCCACACAAGCAAAGATAGAAGAACAGTTAAAGTGTTCAAAACTTTACATGTCCAAACGTACTTTCTTTCTCTTGGGTATTCTGAAGCAGAAAAAAAAAGTGATATTTAATCAGTAGTTTGAAAATATTTCTAAATAATTTGCAAGGTTTGGGGCTGTTTTATACTAAGTTYTAAGAACATGATAACAGTCCATTCTCAGCATGGGATCTTCTCCTGAAGAAGGGGCCCTTTTTAAAAAGGTCATACAGGGCTGTCTTGCTACCAGCTACTGCTATTAGCGACCTACCCTTTTAGCTAAAATTTCTTTAGAGGCATCATTGTTCACAAAACCATTGGTTTAAAATTGCCAAAGCAAGAGCCTACATACAAAAAAAAATGAGTCTCGAATGTTTACAGGCACTGCCAAAGAAAGCCCTAAAGGATGAGAAACTTTGTGAAAACGGGTCAGACCCAGCGTGTGAAGAAGGGCAGGCCCAAATGTCAAACGTTTGTGCCCATCAGARTTAATCATCTCGCCCTCGCTAGCAGGAGGCAGAAGGAACCACAGAACAAGGACACCTTGGTGCTGCAACTAGCACGTGGTGGCAGCGGGTACCTCAGGTACCGACACAGGCGGCAGCGCCCGCTCCACATGCACAGAGCTGCTGCCTCACAGTTCCTACAGCTCAAGGAAATTAAAAAAAAAAAAAGGTATCAAAAGGCAAGGAAAACTACCTCAATAATTTACTAAATGTAACAGTACTTTACGTCTATAGTTTTAATACTATTTTTTAGTCAACGGTAGCTTTTAATATATAAAAAGACAGATCAAAAGAGACCTATTGCTTCTGCATTATTCTTTGACTAGAAGTGTAATTTTACAAAATTGTTACAAGAGCAATAACTTCCTAACACTGGATTCCATTTCAGTCAACTTTACTGTAGTCCTTAAAGGAAAACTGGACTTTCAAGTGTATGACTCCAGGTCCCCTGCACATCAGTTCATGCAGACAGAGTTGATGCCTATAAATTTTTAAAAGTAAAAAGCATCAAAAGGCGTTTTGGGGATTATGAAGAGTGCCATTAGAAATCTAATGTATTGACAAATAAAATTGGAAATCATATTTTGGTAACATAAATCCACTAAAATGGATTTTGAACCAGGCTTGCCTGAAACCAAAAACTTATCTTGAGAATTGATAGCATGTTATCATTAATTTTGCACTAAATTGGTATTATTTATGTCATAGCCACTATTTCATGCCCACTAGACTACAGGCTGACAATAATACAGTTCCTTCAACTAGTTAGTGGAAAATTCAACAGTAGATAAGCTATATGAAGACAAACATGTATTCAGTTCCCAAATTTCTAATTCACTGAAGTGAAAATTCCTACTAAAGCTAAAGCTTTCAGAAGAGCATTTTTTTTTTCCTGCTTATTGACCTTAAACTAAAGTCATTGCAAGTTTTTCCTCAGATCTCAGGGACCTTTAGTTGCAGTGACAGYGTCAATCTGATCAACCTAAACATGTGCTATTCAGATTCAGCCTCTGACTTCCAGAACATCAGTAAAAAATCTTGTTCCTGCCATTACCAAATGWTATATGCTGTCATATTTTGCTGATAATAAAAAGGGAATACAAGGGGAGGTTTCATTTGTCTTAATGCAAGTAAGAAACTAAGGTAAAAGTGCATGTCTGAATACGGGAAAAGCAACATTCTTCATTATTTTGAAACACTACAAATGCCTGTGTAGCATATCAAGAGCTTTTATTAATTTTGCTAGGATGTTTTAAGTTTATATTAAAGTGCCTGTCCATTAGCCTAGGTGCTTTTAAAGATGTATGGTTTAAAAAAAATAAAACAAACACGTGCAGTGGGCTTCATGGACATCTTCACTTACCATTTGCCACCTACAGTATTAGTAACAATGACTTAGTCACCCAGTCTCCCTTTGCATGTCTGCTACATAAACAGCTCAAACACACAGAAAAGCAGAAATCCTTCCCCCCTTTTGTGGGAGACTGAATTGAAGACAAACTGATTTCCAAGTTAGCTGGAGTTTACCATAAACTAGATTAGTCAACTTCCAAACATATAGGCAACCTACAGTGTTAGCTCGACCCAAACCAACAAACTTTTTTTTTTTAATTCGTAAACTTGTTTGCTTCTGCTAGAACTTCTGTTAGCAAGACAGAAGTCTAATTGTGCAAATTGGTAGAAGTCTAATTGTGTACAAATTGGTTTAAGGCAGTTTAACATCTCTTAGAAAATGTCTTAGTTCTACAAGTTCTTCATTACAACTAGTAGTTTAAAAATTGCCTCCTTTTAAAAAAATACATTTAAAGCTATTTGGTCAATAGTTTAAAATAAGGTGTCAAGTTTTCTTTTACACACCTAATTAGTGACTGACAAGAAAATACATCTTTCCTGTTCTTTTCACTCTTTCTTCCTACCAGAAATTCAGTCAGAAAATGTTATTTTCTAGTAACGTAACAGCTGAAATAGTGCTTGAGGCTGAGCATGGGGAGTTTAGAAAACACTAAGCAAAAACTTACTACTTATTAAGTAAGATTAATTCCAGATTAAAGTAAATTTTAAATCAAATTGTACCTATATGCGAAAGTTGCTTCTAATTTAGAAAGATYGGGGTTTTTTTTCCCCAGTTTGATAACAGTTAAGTTTTTAAGAGCACATCTGTCTCCATAGCAACCATACATTCATTGCATCAACCTTTCACATTTTATGCTTACAATATTTTATCCTGCCTGGTAAATAATTGCATCTTATGTTTCAGGACGCATACTCTGCATCTATATCTATAGAACGTTCACAGGTATTTTAAGTGCAATCAACTTAAACTGAACAAACAAAACACGTAATTGTAATCTAATTCTTAGTGCACTTTTTCAGAGCACTTTTTGTTTTTTGAAAGACTATATATAAATGACCACATCTTACAAAAAAAAATAAAATCCCTGGCAAGTTTTATGACAGCACAGAAATAAAATTGCCTCCTTTGTCCAATTGCTTAATGAGAAGCAATGGAAATAAGCAAGGTTTCCTTCAGCAAGTATGAAAAATATACTGTAATATGTTAAAAAACTAAGTGAAAGCATGTTCTCAGTCAGTGCTGGTTATGTTGGCCTCTTGCAAAATGGCAAGCAAAGTCATACTTATTTTTACACTTACACCCACATATGTTGCACTGAAAAGGATTTTCAAACCCATGGCATCCCATGTGAATAGTATAAAGGATATTGTCCGCAAAATACATGTCACAGTGCTGGCAGTGATGCAGGAGCTGAGGGTCCTGAACTGGAAGGGTCGGAGCTGGAGTACTCGGCTGGCTGTTGCTGATGCTGGGAGTGCTGGTGTGGGCGCTGCGATCACTGCTGGGACCGGCCACCGGGCTATAGTTCCTCGGGTTGTGTGTTGGCCGAGGGTCTGGGCTGGTTGGAGATGAGCTCCGGGGAATACTGGTCGACACGGCTGAAACACCTGCAGGTGCAGCAGGCTGCTGTATCATGAAAGGCTTTTCATCTTGACAGGAGACGACGTCAGGAGAGGCTGGGTTTTGGTTTTCAGGTGGCAAGCTAGATAACTGTCCAGCTAACGTAGATAGCTGATTTAAAGGATTATCTACCATAAGGTCTTGTGGATCTCGTGGCAACCCACCGCTCTGGGCTGTTTTTGTCATACTCTCATACGCTTCGGCCTGGATATTTGGAATTTCATGAGTGAAATCATTAAGGTAGTCTGGTTTCTGAACCACCATGGAAGGTGGACTCAAATTTATTAATGCTCTTCTGCTGTATCCCAAATTGCTGGTCTTCTTCTGCAAAACTCCCCACATTTTCTTGCTGCTTAGGGAAGACCTTGTTCCCTTGATAGGCACCATTTTATGTTTACGCCTACGGTGATGAGATAAGTTGCTTCTGTCACTGCAGCGGAAGGAACACAATTCACATTTGTATGGTTTCTCACCAGTATGCGACCGCATGTGAGCTTCGAGATGACGTTCATACGCTGAAGCAAACGGACATAAATGGCATCGGTGTGGCTTCTCACCTGGAAAATCAAGGAAGATTATACTACAGCATTCCATGGAGCACTGGAAAAATACAGTTGTTAACTGGGAGGTGCTGTGTGAACAGTTSAAATCCAGCTCTATATGAACAGTTCAAATCCAGGTCTGGAGACACTGCAAGTTCTCAGTTYGGAATCGTGCTCCATATTGCACTTTTACACATCTTTGCTTTCTTACTGAATAGGAATGAGCATCAGGGAAACTGCTACCAGAACTAGCAGCTATAGAAACCCTGACTAGTAACTTCAGCAATGATGTCAAGGTCTGAATGCAGCGATGTTTGCGTGCTCCTCTTAGAAGATCCTGAATCTCCCTCAGGGTTAAAGYGCATGAGCAGTTGACTACCAAAATCTGTTCAACCACCACTGTCATCATTCTTAATGGCACTTGTGTTTGAACACTGAGAGAAGGAATCCTTTTGATATCTTCCAGACAGTCCTATAATTTAACACATATAAAGAGGCATGCACCCAAGAACTGAATTTCCTAAAAGGATTCTATGGCCAAAGGGCTATTAAAGGAAATAAAGGCCAACTAAGCCATCTGTTCGTTTAGTCCTTTGTTAAGGAAAACAAAGGCCACCCCGGACAACTGCAGGCTCTCTCAAGAGGTGGAAGCTGAGTTTTGTCCACCCTGAAAGTTTCAGCTTTGCTCTTCTATGAAACAGTATTTAGATTTATTCCTGCTATTACCTTTTGAAGTCTTTAAAAAACATTCAAAAATAGTTATAGGTCAACACATTCATAGTACAATACTTCAGACTTTTAGTCTATATTTCATAGAGTGATCTTTTAGGAGTTTTTAGGAGCCAAGTCTAAAATGTTAAAAATGCCAAAGGCATTTGATACACACCCAGATGCTGAAACGCAACAGCCTATTTGCATTTATAAGATTATACTCTCATCTACAATGACAGGGCACCTTCTCAATTGCTGTTACGCAAGTGATTCTCCTACAACTCAGCATGACAAACCCCCAAAACTAGTGTGATCTTGTCTCCGGTCTTAAAGGTCTTTTGAAGCATTTTATACTCCTGTAGAAACAGGACAATACATTTATTTTGTGGCTTTCAAAATCTATCATCTAGACTGGCCATGAAAGCCAGAAATCTGAATGCAGTGAGAGCCACTATTACACTGCATGCACCATGCAAGCCCTGTAAGTTGCATATGACTGATACGGAAAGACAGGAAATCACCACCACACCGAGCATCCCAGTTTGTGACCACAGCTTGGCATACCAAGGAGAGATTTTTTTTTTCCCTCTGACTCTTCAAGAAAGAAAATTCCTGCGCTCCCTCTAGCTACCTTATTCRCACCAACTGCAACTACTAAGAGCGCACACACATGTGTATGTGTGTATACATACATGTAAAGCAAGATAAAGATTGAAACTCCCTGCTTACAGGGACTACGTCTGCACGAGTAGCTTATGCCACTCTAAAACTGGTTACACAGAGATGAAAATCTGCATCCCATGTCGCAAGTCTTCAGCCCAACACAGCTCACGAATTACTAACTTGGCAGCTTAGTGTAGCTGTTTGACTCACCACTAAATTAATTCTGCAGTAAGCCACACTTAATAACAGTTGCTTGATTACACTTGGGTCCTCACTACTTCAGCTGATACTGTGCTGTACTTCAATGTTATCCAGGAGAGACTGTTTACTTATATTACCTCTTATCTGCTTAGTTATATGTCTTATAGTGCTTGGAAACTAATGGCCAGCTATCACATCCCTGTTTTAATGCTGATTTAGTCTAAGCTTTCATGGTCCATGCAAGCTGTGTATTAGCTTTTTGCCATGCCTCCCCACCAAGTTTCTGAGGAGAACCACACTCAGGTTTGAAATCTGCTTGCCTGTAAGTGAAGAAAAATCTCTCTTGTTCTGGAGTACCTTGGCTCTGCGCAAAGAAAGAAAGTGGGTCCTTCCAAAAGGAGCTATTAGAGTAAAAGGTAAATGCTGTCACCACCAGGCCACCATGCAGTGCTTTATCAAAATTAAGTATATTAAATCTATTGTAAGAAAGCAAATGGGAAATAATACAGGGGAAAAAAAAAGACTTTTGGATAGACACGGATTCCTGTCTATATTATGAAACTGAGTAGATTGGTATAGTGAAATGAACTGGCAACACTGGACAGTCACCAGTACTGTGGTGGGCACCAGACAGCTTCTGAACAGAGATTTGGCTACAAAGCATTCACTGTATGAAGCTGTGTCCAAATTACAAAAGCTCTGTGATGCACAGAAGGCTGACATCCTCTGTACCTCTCTCTCACTGCTTGTCAGCTTTCTGCATCTGAGGTCACTCACACTGCATGATTTGCTAGCACACAGCGATGTTGCCTTCAAGTTAGGTACCTTTCCCCAGCACCTTTGATCGAACGAGCCAAGCACGCAACCTCCAGCATCAGCAACACCTCAGGAGCACTGACATGACAGCCTGCCCACATGGAAAGCTGTTCTTCCACCTGCTCCCAAAACATGAAGTCAGAGCTACCTATTTATTTTAAATAAAGGCCATCACTTTCGCATGCTGTTTATTTCCTCACCGTCCCCTAGCTGAGCTATTGTGCTAACAGTATTATATATTATGACCATGAGAAACAACTCAGTATGTCAGTCAAGACAAAGGATTATGCTTCCCCCTAAGCAAAGGGCTTTCTTATTACCTTAAGTTGCGTAGCCCAGGCACTGCTTGCAACTCAGTAATTACTGATGGGTCAAAGATTCCTGTGGACACTTCTGAGCCTCACAACTTGGGGCTGCAATCTTTTTTTGCTTTCGTAAATATTATGCTACAACCACACTGAAATGGTCCAAACGTGCAGCATGTAATGTTCTGCTACCTCAAGCCATTCAGTGAGCTCTACTACCTGACATAGTTGCAGGATAAAAAAAATATTCTGAAAGCACAAATGAATTGTTAATCTAAAATCTGCAAGTATAATAAAGGTAGGTGACTTCCTATAGTAAAAGAAAGAATGCTGACTCTGAACCATCAGGCACATAAAGAAGGAAAGCTTGTTTTGCTTTCTAGTTCAGTTAAACTTTATGACAGTGAACATTAATTTACAAGGTTATTTATTCCATCTGAGGAACCCCCAAGTGCAACAACAAAAACAAACACACAACAGAACAAACCACAAGATTCAGCAAGGACACAGTACTGACTTCAACAGCAATTCATGCTTCTGTCACAGCTCTCACAGTCAATCTACTCGTGCGGACAACTGGCCAGTAGTAACTGAGGATCTGGCGATGGGAGATTTTAGATGGCAGCAGCCCCATGCTGCTGAAGACAGGGAATTTGGAAGTTGATGTGTTACTTCTGCAGCAGCATTTGTTATGCTGAAGCACTGCAGTCACTGTTTTTTTTTCTCATAATTAGACAACCCAAAAGCCCAGAAATGACATTGTGCCAAGTAAATCTCTTAAAAGCAAAATACCTCTCCTGCTGCCCAATCACATGAAATAAATAGTAGATGAAGCTGTAGCTGCTGCTGCTTTACCCCAAAAATAAGTCTAAAAAAGTTCAAAACACATTGTCGCTTTGTAGATCTACAGCGAGCCGTGTGTCAGCAGCGTGTCAAATGCAGTTGCCAAAGTCATTTTCTTCATTATTTCATTATTTCATTATTTTCATTATCATTATCATTTCATCATTATTTTCTTCATTATTAGAACTGTAAAAAACTTCCACAGGGAATCCAAAAACACCAACAGCTACACAGAGAGGTAGCTCATGGTAGCACAACAGATGAATTTTCAGCCTGAACCTCAGAACTCTTTCTAGCTGCTCATCCCTTTCTGTCCCATCATGGATTGTACAAACAAGGCAACACTGCAGGAACATGAAAGCAGCACCAGCATGCCGGTAACACAACCCTGGAGTTTTGGGGCAGAAGCAATGGTGTAGCCCAGTTAGCACGTGACTAACAACTACAGGTAAAGAGATTAATATCCAAGTTGCAACAACATGTTTTCCTTTAAAGTAAGTCCTAGAATGCCATCTACGTAATACAATGGAAAAGAGAGAGTTGAAAGTCTTCAGATAGCCCTTACACTGGCATACTCCAGATCTGCAACAACTTCCATTCTTTGCAAAATACATTTTCTTATTATTGCTATAGTTAACACCCATATTATCTTCTGTATCACTTGAATATGCTATGCAGGCACTAAAGGAAGACTTTAAAAAGACCTTTCACTTGTATTTTCTCTCAACTACCAAAAAATGACAGCTGATCTCACGAACATTTCAGGATATTCTAACCTTTACTGTGAATCTGGCTTCTAACTGTTGAGTTAGATGAGCGCACTGCTTGAAGACGTAAATTGCTCGTGCACAGTTCACAACACTGAGATGGTACCACAAAGCCTCCCAACAAAGTACTGTAGAATAGTCCATACCTGTATGAATTCTGATATGCTCTATGAGCCGCGCTGTTCCTTTGCTGGCGTAGTTGCAATATCGACACTTTAACTTTCCATCAAATGTCCTTTCAAACCCATCCACTAACATTCCTGAGTTTTCATCCAGTGAGACTTCAACAGAAGGATGATCTAGCCCATTCTGATCCCCTTCTGTCCCAGCTGCAAATAATGCAGAGATTTTGATGAAGAATCACTGGGATACTACGTACAATGACAACAGGCCAAATATCTTTATGCATTTTTATACCTTTGGTCTTTAAATAGCAAAGACAGAACCAGGATAAATAACCCCTGATTAAAACAAACGCACATACACAACTTCAGAAAAACTACTACCAGAAAGATTTCCATGCAGTTGCAGCAGTCAGTACAATTGTCTGCAATGTGACCAGTGAAGTCATTTGGCATCACTGAAATTGGTTTACCTCCCTGAAGAGTCTCTGCTTCCTTGTCGCCACTAACTGAGCCAGAAATCATATTTACGTGGTGAGTCTGCTGCGTAAGGTATTCCTGAAAATCTTTTACAAAGTCCAGGGGTTCTGGTTTCTTTTCACCCATATTCACACTTTAAGTTTACAACCTCTTCTGCCTGGAAAGAAAAAATATCTTCAAATCACAAGTGTAACTGAATTTGACGGCATTCAGGGAAAAAATAAAAACGGCTCTAGAAGTGAAAGATTACTACTGACATGTTAAATAATACATTGTAAATATACAAATTGACAATGATAAGAATATTATTTTAAGAATTCTTATTTCTGAGGAAACAGTTTTTCACAACACTATTTCAAGCTTAGTAATCTATATTATTATATTTACATTATAGAGATATGGAGATACAATAATATATAACCATCCTTAAGTATTATCTAAAATAATATTATACTCATTTAACACAGTATAATGCACTATATTGTATTATGTTATATATTATATACTAGTATTAGTACTAATTAATAAGAACAATAGTAATAGTAATAATACTAATTTTAGTACTATTATATACTAATAAGAGTAATATAAGTAGAGTATATAAAATAGGACAAAATTACATAGCAATGAAAAATCAACAACACATTGTTTGACTTGTTTAAAATAATAACAATATTAACAATATTAATAAGGTTGTACCTGAAATTCAGTTCCCTGCTAAGCAGCAGACATGCTCCAAAAGATACTCCCAATAGGTCAGATTGAAAGCAGGGGGCACAGCTCTCCCACTTTTTCTGGAAGGAAAAAAAAAAGTATCTATAAAAATTTGTAAATCTGCTACTTTTCCCCCTCCCCAAGATCTGTAAGAAATAAACTTGGAAAAAAATAAAAATAAAAATAAAAATAAAAATAAAAATAAAAATAAAAATAAAAATAAAAATAAAAATAAAAATAAACAACTGCTAACATCTTATTGATATAAATTTTAATAAAATATTTTATTCCTAGCAAGACCTTTTCAAAATCCGCATCTACTTCTCCCTCTCACTGCTAGTCTGAGAGAATTAAATACTTTCTCTGGTAAACAAATGGTTCTGCAAAACTTAGGAAGTGAGCTATGGATCACGGTCAGGCAGTCTCTGATCTTGTGAAATTGAGTCACTAATGTCACTAATGTCACTAATTAACAAGGATGGAAAGAAGTTTTGCACAAAGCTGTAGGTCAAAATTGTCTTATCCCAAAATTTTAGTATCCTACTATGKATAAGCTCTTAACACACTTTATTATTTTGCATTTAAATAATAAAACTATTCACCAGGTATCACTTGTCATAATCTACTGTAGTACTATAGACGGCACGATTTGAATCTCAATTTGCAATGAATTTGTGCAGATGGAACTTAGGACTCTGTGTGAAAGACTGCAGTAAGTGCACATTATTATTACTGCTGACTGTATTTAGAAATCATTTATTATGCTGCTCTTCCAATGGCAAAATCTTTTTGATTTCAAATACTTAAAACACAAAACATTAAGTGACCTACAAAAGCCCCCAGTCCCAAGCTCAAGACCATGTTTGATACCAAACATATTTTCCCCTATATTTTCAGAACTATTCACTTCATTTCGTTCCTGCGATGGAACTCCAGTTCTCGGAGTATGAGCTAATCCCCTGCATTTCGCTACTTAATTCTGCCTGTTACGTATGMCTGCAACCAGTTTCGTCTAACTTTTGCAACAGGTGTTTCTTAAAACCTGTTATCTGTGCTTCTGAAACTAGAGGATAAAACTGAGCGCCTCGCAGATGCTATTTTGGGCGCCCAGACACGTATATTCTTCCCCAACAAGCCCCAGCAGGCTCAGCCATTATCACTGCTAAAGCAGCTCTGACATATCAGTTTTTTCCTACCCTCTTTCAGATGTCACCAGCCTCCTCTTGGCTTAAGTTAATTTGTTTTCCATTTGTTGGGGTCTCCTGCAAAAAAACACACACAAGAGACAGGCATTAAACACAGACAAGGGTGCAGAGAACACAGTAATGGTGAGTCCTCACCGCGCCATCCTTCAGTAAATCATAATTTAAATTTAAACCACTTTATATGTCGAATGCTCAACATGAATCAACACTGAATCTGTATTTTCATAGAATAACCTGCATATACCTTCTTGTAAGGTATAAAAACTTAACTTCTTACTTCATATACATTTTAGGGAAAGTTACAAATAATTTCGGAGAATCAAGAGTGGGAAAAAAACGTTACACTTGGGGGAGCGCCGGCATAAAACGCCGCTCCCCGCCCCTCAGTTACCTCACAGAAGCCGCCCTTCTTCTTCTCTAAAATCTGACAAACTGCCACAGTTTAACACCTGCCTCTAACCTCCGCATCAGCGCGCTCGAAAAGCTCCTTAAGCATTTTAAGCATAATTAAGTTTCTTTGGCAGACACCGAAGGGGCCGCTGCCCTTATCAGCCAGGAACAAGCTAGAGGAGGTGTCCGACCCGTCGCTACCGCGACCGAGAGCCGCCAACAAGCGCGGCCGGCGCCGCCCGCCCCGCGGCGCGCGG